AGCATTGAATCGTATGCCGGCAGAGAATTTGCCACCGGCAATGCGGATCAATTCCAACACAGCCTATCTGATGCGAGTAAACCGATTCTATCTATTTGGCGCACTTCATCGTGTAAGGTATCCGTCTGGGCGCCCCCCCCAACAGGTAATGATCCGTGATCAACGTCAATCCGTCGCAGACGCATACCTGATCCTATGGAACAGGCGTATAACAGTTCAAAGAATCGGCCACAAAGCGTGCCCATTGAACGCCCCAATCAACAAGTGTATGGAACCCGTTTGAACGTGCGAGAGAAGGCCGGACTGGCGCCCACCACTGAGTCGGACTGGTTCTTTGTTGACAATTCTGCAAGTTATCATTTGTTAGTCCTCTGAATCGAGTGAGCTACGCGGTTGGGTGGATTGAACGAGCTGCTGACTGCACAAGAAGAGCTCGTGTTCATTTCGTGTCAGCTTGCTCGTGTATTACTCAAGAATTTCATAATTGAGCGAATTTTCCATGGACTAGGCGTACGGTCATATCCTTTCGAGATGAAAGCCCCTCTCCATGAGAACGCCCACCCCCAAAGACAAGTGCCCCAGAGGTGGCGCTAACACTATACGATAGACCCTCGATATGTGTGTTTCATTTGGTTTCGCCCTTCTACCTCTCTTTGAAATCACCCCGGGGCCATCTTTTTAGATTTTTTGGAGGCGACCCACGGGGGGTTCGCAGAGGTCTACATAGCCCGAGCACTACCCCTGGGGTCAGACTACGTGCCATCTACCGTCGGCAACGGTCGCAACCTTCCCCAATCGACCTCTTGTGCTTCTTGCATGCTTTCTCGAAGATGCTGTTGAGCCCCGATATGTCGTGGGTCAGCGCTGTGTTGTGGGTACGGGTGCCTCGCAACTAAGACAAAGAGACAACGCAACCGGGAACTTCTCGCCCACGGGTTGTTGTACTACTTGAAAACGATCGCCCAGGAGTGTTATTTTCACCAAAGAAAAAGGCCGCCCCCCGGGTTGTTCTCAAAATGGATTCTACGGTGTACACAGGGCGCGCCTGTACTCACTGAACGGCATCCTCCGCCCCCTCACTGACTGACATCCCTCGCTCCCTCAACACGCAATTCCGTCGCCACCGACGCCCTCTGTGGCGCAGGGAAACGTGGTGGCAAGAAGACGCGCCCTTGAATGCCAGGACATCTTGTCGTGCCTGGTACAGTTTGTGGATTAGGACCAGTAATGTACCTGTTCATCGCTCGCTCTGGCATCGAAGGCCTTCAGGCGCCCGTGGGGGTCACGAGCCACGCGAACCCGACAAGTGGTGGCCGATACGTCCATCAGGAAGCTCGCGCAATGCCTGGAAGTTGGCCTACCCTTCGACCTCCGGCGAAGAAGGGTTGCAGCGCCGCTGCTCGTTTCGGGAAACCCGGCCTCCTTGAGTTCGCGAAAGCTAATCGTTGCGGGTGGACCCCAGCGACTTGTGCTCAGGCCACCGGGAGTGGACACCTTGGGATCCTCAAAAGGCTTCGAGCACGGGGCTGCGGCTGGGATGAAGAAACACGCCGGCAGGCTGCCATAGGGGGTCACCTCAAGGTCCTGAAATGGGCGAGGGCGCCAAGCGCAAACTGGTTGGGGTAGTGGATGGGCTCGAACGCGTGCCGTTATATAATTATCGTATAGAATCCTCGACGGATTCTCCAAACGGATTCTTACTTTTGCTCACATGGATTGACATTTCTCAGCACACACAGACCCCACAGCAGTCACCACTAGCTTCAAAGACGCCTACAGGTGTGGTGCGTACAGCCTTCAAGTTCTGGTGACGACCCGACAATCGTGGAGGGAGAACTCTGTGGTGATGTGGTGAGAGGTCTGTCTTTTGGTCGAAATCAGGGGGGGGGGGCTATGCCCGTCCAAAAAAATCCGTCGGGCCAACTATGGGGAGCCACAAGAGTCAGCCTTAGGTGCAATCGGAATTTTGTTTTTTGTGCGCCCTTGGAACAAACCTTCGTCTCCTGACCATGTACCAGTCAGTGCGCTGCGCGAGGCCGCTGTCAATCACATGTTCTTGATTCTTATGGAGTTGCAGTTTTGGTCGAGTTGGTTCGCCGGCATGTAGGTGTAACTCGAACCCGATTTCTGAAGTCAACCATCGTAGACATATCGAATCGCCATCGCCGACGAAAAAGTTAGTTCCTGATTTAGTCCATCGAGTAAATACCGACCCTTTCCCGCAACGTGCCACCAGTCACTTTGGTCATCGGTGACTCGACTTGGAAGAATGGAGGTGACCTTGATCCTTCTGCTGGGACTCGTGGCCTTCTTGAGCACCTCCACAGGTGGGTGGGTTCGAGCGTTCGAATAATCATCGCGGAATGCAATCGATCGGGTGTGCGTACATGGACCCCTCTCTCGGTGGGTAAATGTACAAATTGCAATATCTTCCCGGGACAGTAGGAAAGTACAGCGCGCTGCAGCGAATCCCATTCCGGCCCCCCTTTCGCTTTGACGACGAGCTGACGAGGTGGCATTTAGCTCGATATGCAATAGCTGTCTTTCTAGATGAGCTGGAGTGTGTTTTCCTAAGAAATGGAAGCATCTATTCATCATATCTCATGCGGAAATTCGTGTTGCATCATCGTTAGGTTGTGGTTTTTTCCTCTGACGAAATATGTTCAGGTCCTTGTCTACCTTTCCCTGGGAACAACTGAGATATCAACACGTTTCCTTCCGTTCCTCGAACAACCACCAGGGTACATGTAGTGGCGGCGGAATTAATGCTCGATCGATTTAACATGGTGGCGGTTTTCTCTCAAAAGGTAGAATGCATGAAGCCTTGTCTGATCTCGTGCGGGTGTATCTTTTTGCTGATGCAAAGCCGATTCGGTAATAGATACTGTGATCTGATTCTGGCGCTGCTGTTCATTTCTTGATCATCTCTCCACCCGTTTTCTCGTTCCGTTTGATCTGTGTGATCCGTATGTTGCAGCCAGTACATGCCTGGATCTCACCGACGACGGCCACAGGTGCCAGACTGATGAAAACGGAACCATGTGAGCCAGCCGCCCCCGGAAAGGCGTTTTCGCCATTTTCGCGAAGGTCTCAAATGCAGTTGATTGCGCCGCTGACACGTCATCCGTTCGGAATCCGCGTGGCTCGTCTCAACGAGCTCGTTTGCTGGTGGCGAGTTTTTCGTCGATGCCGCAATCTGGTGGCGGTTACGCCTGACGTCCTGTATCCGTTGCTTGAAAAGTGTTGGAGCAGTTGAGTCGATGGGATTTGGCAGAGGTGTTTCCCATCATTTCCGCACTACCATGTTTGGGACAATGCCACCGGGCCACAGAGCAAGACTTGACGTGCCCTCCCTTTGGTGTGTGTGCCATCTTGTCCCAGGTTCCTGTGGAGCTGCAGCATAGGTGATGAAGACGGGAAAGCCCTAGGATTATGTTTGGACTATGCGGGGCGGAGCAGCATATTAGACCTGTGAGTGGATGGGTTTTGGCGCCAGGGGCACCTTGAGCTGGAGCTTGGCGGCGATTGGCACCTGTTTTTAAGTTGTCCGGAAGGGGGTGTTGGACGATTGACGCGAGCCATATTTCTGTTCAGCCAACCGGGTTGAAACCTTCCATCATTGAGGGTATCATCACACACCCTATGAACCCTCAACAAGCGTGCCCGAAACGCCACTGCCGGAATTCCGTCTACAACAAATGGGGTGTCCAACGAATTAGCTCATGACCAAACGCGGAGAGCCACGCAGGGTGCACGTTTCATTTCTTCGTTCTTTGGTCACCCGGCGGCGAAGACTCCGTGACTAGCCAGCGCGATCGAACGTCACCTGTGCATCTGGTGGGGTGGCCTGCCTTGTACGTGGTCATGTACTCTGCGATAGCCAGAACTGATTTCTAGCCGTGCTGTTCTCTGCTCCACTCGATGCGTTCTTTCGACACCGAAAAGGAAACTGTCCTCCAACGCGCTTACCGTCCTGCCGGACGATATTTTTCAGGATCTCACTGCCCTTCAAGAGCTGTAAGTGGCTACAGACACGTTTATCGGTTTGGATGCTTGTGAGATGGACTCAAGCTGTGAATTGACCGCCAGCACGCGTTGCGCTGTTTTTTGCCGTGTCCAGATTTTGTGCCGTGCTTGAGCGAGGCCGGGCAAAATTGTGGCGATGTTGGAGGGTAGCTATCGAAGTCGACGAAAATTAGCGCAATCAGACCTGCCCTAGTGGTGGTATGCAGTGCACCCCTGAACTGGTTATGAAGGCAATCCATCCTGTCACGTGTGATGTACGCGAAATTATGAAATTATCAATGGATGGCTGCCTTGATATCCAACGAGAACTATGAAGGGTCCGTGGCTATGTTAAGTGCTTTCAAAACGTCGTCTGTTCATGTTTGTGGGCTGGCCATGCCTTATCCGTAGATGACCATCTACGGTAGCAAGAAGTATACGTCTAGCTTACGTGTCTCTACTCTGCTGGCCGCGTTCCCTGGACACCCACAGGAAGCTGTATAACAACAGCCTGATCACCCTGCCGGAGTTTGCATTCCAGGATCTCACGGCCCTGGAAAACCTGTGAGTAGCTGTACGACGCGTTCGCCAGTATGGTGCTTGTAAGATAGGCTCATGCTGCGCAGTGACCGCCAGCGTTTGGGTAGTCCTCGGTTTGCTGAGCTGGCGATCCATTCTCTTTGCGAGAGAATGTTCTGATGTGTACAAGTGAATGCTGGGGTGTAAAATGGGGCTAGAAGGTAACTGTCAGCCTCCGTGGTCTAGTGGGCCGTCAGAGGGGGGTGTTTCATGTACCACTATTACGAGTTAGGACGGAAACTCGGTCGCTTCTGATGAACTGGAATAGGTGGTGGTTGGCGAAAACTTCATAACTCTGTCAAATCATGTGGATGCCGCCTGTGCACCATGGTGGACTGGTCATGCCTTGTAGTTGGCCATGTATTGTGCGGCGTAGCAACAATTGATCCATGGCTAACGTGGTGTCTCTGCCCCGCTCTTCGCATTCCCTCGACACTCAAAAAAGCGACCTGTCTTCCAACGCGCTTACCACATTACCGGAGGGAGTATTCCGAAATCTCACGGAGCTTCAAGACCTGTAAGTGGATGGGCGACATTTTTAGCGGTAGGGTGCTCATGGTACGCAATGACCGCCAGCGTTTATGGCCTTCTCGGTTTGCCGAACTGTTGGTGCGATGTTTCAATGATACTTGCGAGTATCATGACACTAGATTGCAACTGCCGAGGAGGATCTGTATTGCCATGTCGGCCCTTGCACGCACGGACGGATACCCGTAGTATCACATATCCTTTGAGAACACCCGGTCCAGAAGGCCCTCCTCCCAAAATCAATACCGCCGGTGCGTCACAAATACTTCATGAACACCTGGGGTCGTTGTTGTTTTCTTCGCGAAGATACCCCCCGCTGCGCCTTTGAGAAGATGGTGTTTGACATTATTTTCCTCTATGCAACCGTGACAAACTGCACCAAGGAGGAATCTTCGCGTTGGTCGGAGACTCTCTTTGACGCCGTTTCTTTTCACAGTCTGAGCTCAATCGCTCACCCACTACCCGCCTGAGATCCAAGGGACTGTTCACGCCGCGGGTAAAGGTCATGATCACCCTGCGTAAGAATACACAACAGTAAATAGGCGTAACCAAACGGTACGTAGCATGTTGTGTAATACTTGATTTTGCACCCACCTTTGTATCCCAGGTTAATACCAAGACCAACCAAAGACATACCGCATTTAGTTTGAATGTCGACACTTTGACGCGCCCGCTGTGGCTATGGATGGGGGATCGTGCGGTCCCCACCCAACACTCACAGCATCCGCGCCCTTCTATCTGGAACGACTACCCCGTGGCCGTGACAACCTCATGCCCTTCGCTAGGGGCGCTTGGCACGCTTCTTGTGGCTGGGTGTTTTTCGTGTTGTTCGTCGTGGTCGCGATGGTCGTGCTCGAGGAAGGGCTTTTGTGTGTGTGCTTGGTAGCCAGCTTGGGAGCCACTGCTTGGGTGAAAGGGAAGAGCATTTCATAGAGAGATCCATGTTTCAAACATGCGGGAATGTTGTAAATGAAGCTCGAAAGCCCCACTTACATTCCTGGGCATTATCTCATCTAAACTTGAGTTACGGCATGAGAAAACAGGCCTCCGGGATCGTAGTTAAGGTTATGATTCACACTTAACGTCTCGTCTCTGCTCCCCTCGACGCTTTCCCATGCACCCAAAGGGACCTCTCTACCAATATCCTCACCACCCTTCCGGAGGGGACTTTCAATAGCCTCACTGCTCTTCGAGAACTGTAAGTGCGGCTGTGCCGCTCGTTTGTGGGTAGAGGTATTTTTCAGCAAGGGTTGATCCTGTGCTAGAGAACACAATACATTTAGAGTATGGTTTGATGAGCAGTCGGTTTTTCGAGGCAACAGTTCTGATAGCAGCACTTGTCCGGGAATGTTGGGGAGTACCATGGCACAAGGAAGGATCTATTGCATTGAGTAGGTGTAGAACTGAGCTGGTGTGCTGTACGCCGGAACTGGTTGCCACGACAATCGGGTAGCCTCTGCTCTACCTCTACCGGGGATGATGGATAGTTGGCTCGCTTGATTCCACACGATCGTCTTATACAAGCCATCGATCTCACCAGCGGCGACGACATCTTGACTTTGGTGACTTTGGTGGACTGGTCATGCCTTGCGGATGACCATGTACGGTACGAATACGAGTGGTTTCTGTCTGACGTGATGTTTTTTTTCCCGCTCGTCGGGTTTCCTCGACCTTCGCAGGGGGATGCCATACAACAACTTCACCACCCTGCCGGAGGGTATTTTCCTGGGTCTGACGTCCCTGGAAATACTGTGAGTAGGTGCACGACGTAGGGTGCACGATATGCTTGTCGGCGTAGGTTGTGTTTCCGCATGGACCGAGCCTGCGCCAGAGGACACAAAAAGCATGAGGCGTTTCCTCGGTGTGCTGAGCTGTTATAATAGAGCAAGGGTTCGCGTTTCTTTCAAAATGTAGTCTTGACATTAGCTGTGCTTCCGGGGTGCTGGTGGGTATCATGGCACGAGAAGGGTAACTGTCGGGGTCAGCAAGGTTTGGTACTGCCATGTCATCTCCCTGCTCTAGTAGACCGTCAGAGATATGTACCAAACCAGTCGCCTCTGCTGGACCGGGAATTTATCAACGGATGCGTTATCGTTCAATGAGAGTAAATGTTTCCAGCTTAAGTGTTGTCCGTGCTTCACACTCCGTCAACACCCACAGGAAGCTGTACGATAACCGCTTAACTAACCTACCGGAGGGTGTTTTCCAAGATCTCACGGCGCTTCAAGAAGTGTAAGTAAATACGCCACGATTGTTAGCAGAGTGCAATCTCGCATGATCGGCTGATGCGCGAAATATCGCCAGTGTTGGGGGTGTTCTCTGTTTCATTGCTATTTGCGAGAGTTTCGTCATCAGGCGAAGAGATTCTGAGGAGTACCATGGCGCTAGAAGGGCAACTCCAGAGGTGATGGTATCTGTGCTGATGACTCCCCTGCCCTCACATGTGTAGTTTCGATGGCAAACGGGCCGCCTCTGATATCTGGAAATGATTTGTGCTTGATTTCGTTGTTTTTCAATGAGAATCTTGCCCGGTGCGGCGGCGAAGACTTGTGCGACTTTGCCGAGGCGCTCCAATGCCGCCAGTGAATCCTCGTTGGCTGATCATACCTGTCAGATTGCTTTATATTTTTTCTCTTTTTTCTCTTTTTCTCTCTTTTTTTCTCTCTTTTTCTGTGCCAGATGGCCTTGTCTCTGCTTGCGTTGTGAAGTACCAAGATTGAACCGAGGGGGTGTACCTCTTTCTCTCCGGCCCATGATAGATAGTGACTCCTAGACCTCGCATAGCGCGCAGAGGGAGTGGAGGATTCCAGAATATCTGTCGTTGATTTGTATTGACTTGCGGACCCCTCGGGGCCAGTTTATGTGAGTGTACCTTATTAGGGTAAGTTAACCTGTGACCACGGGAATCGACCGCGTCGAGTGTTGGATCAGTACGGACATACGAAGGTGCTGGGTGGAGAGAGAGATCGGAACGGTTTTTAATGTGAAGACAACAACAACAACAACAATTCGGTACCAAGAAGTGTTTCAATAGCTAACTTGTTTCGCTCTGCTCGTTCATGTTACTTGGACACCCAAAGGTACCTTGGTCAAAACTCCTTGACAACACTGCCGGAGGGAATATTCCGTAATCTCGGGGCACTTGAAGAGCTGTAAGTAGCTTGAACGACATGTTTGTTTTTCGCGGTGCGTGTACGCACGTGGCGATCCGTGCGCGGTCGTCCTTTCTTATATTTTGCACACACACACGAGCGCGGCCGCGCGCCTGCACCACGTACGTAAAGTTGAAACTGTTGGAGTATTGGCGGTTTATGTTGGAACTGTATGCGTTCGGGGGGGGGGGGGAGGGGGGGGGTGATGCCCGCCCCTCCAGAAAATTCTGAGTTGAAAAGGTTGGACTGTTGACGAAGAAATATTTTTTCGGGGACCATGCCCCAGCCTATGGTAACTCCCTGGAATTCATTTTTCGGCCATGTTGTCCTCCCTCCCCTCCGGTATGTCATTTATTTCCGATATCTGCCCAAACGCGTGTGAGGAAAACTGGAAATACTTGATCGAATCCCAGCTCTTTCTTGATGCGACAGTGCATACTCCGTGACTCTGCCAAGCATTCTCATTCCAATTTTGTCTGGGCATCTTGGCGGGCTGTGTCCAGGCCGTGTACCGTACGGTAGCAGGAAGTGATTTGTATCTAACGTGTCATTCTCTTCTCCGCTCGTTACGTTCCCGCGACAACCCAAAGGTCCCTGAAAAACAGTGGCCTCACCACCCTGCCGGAGACTATACTCCGCAATCTCACGGTCCTTGACGAACTGTAAGTACGGTTTGGTCCAGAGTTTTGTTTGCGGGAAACATGCCCTAGCTCGCCCCGGGAGCTATGATCGTTCATGCTTTCCTCCCCCTAATGGGTCGGGGAAACACGATGTTTTGTGGTTGGTTCCGTATTTTGCTCCGTCTTCACAAGTACTGGAATATATCGTCCCCCAATGAGAATGCCCCTGGTTTTCTCAAGTGACATTGCGGCGTGCACCGTAGTTGGCAAGTTAGTTATTGTATCGTATCTGCAGTTGACTGGAGGTGATTGGCCATCTGATTCGTTGATTCACATCGTAAACTTTTTTTCACCGCACCCCGATTACTCCGTGACTTTGCATATGTACTCGAACGCTCTCGATGGATCAGGCGTGTCGGTGGGGCGGTCCATGTGCTGGAGCAAGCGGTTGTTCCTTGCTAACGTTCCTTTTTTCTCCTCGTCGCGCTCCCTCGGCAACCACAGGTGGTTGGTGAACAACACCCTCACCACTCTTCCGGAGACTATCTTTCAGGATCTCACGACCCTCCAATACCTGTAAGTAGCTTGGCGAACAGTTTTGTTATTCGCTTGATTTTCCGCAGGGCTGATCCTGCGCTTGGAGAACACAAAGCATCAAGGGTTATCCTTGGTATGCTCAGATGTCAGTTGATGTTTTGAGAGAAATGTGGATGGCAGACCGAGTAGTTCGGGGAACCTGTGAAAGTTTCGATGTACTCGAAACGCAATTGTTTTTGTCGGCGAGGCTTGGCACTTGCATGCCAGCCCCCCCCGGTCTAGTGGGCCGTCAGAGGTGGTGCGCAGTGATGTCGTGAACGGACAAACCCAATATCTTTCGCGCACCAGCCCCCCCACCTCCCCAATAATATTACCCGCCGGTGCATGACAAGCACTACGATTGCTCGGAATCGGTTTTCCCTTTTTTCGCTACTATTACCACCCTGGGGCTCCGATGGGCTTGGTCGTTGGCTCCGATGAATTCAACTGATAAAGTATGCGGGTCATCACGCGACGGCTAAGATTAGACTCCGTGACTTTGCCCCTGCAGTCTACCACCATCTGCATGTTTTGGTGGGCGGGCCATACCTCGTAGATGTACTGTAGCAGGAAGTGATATCTAGCTAATTTGTCCACTCCGCTCGTTCTCTTTCCCTCTACACCAAAAGTGCCATGAAAAACAACACCCTCACCACGCTGCCGGAGGTGCTGTTCCAGGATCTCACGGGGCTGCTGTTGTTGTAAGTAACTGCGGCGAGTTTGTTGGGGGCAAGTGCTGTTCAGGGCTAGACGTCACAAACGTAAAGGAGTTGAGGATTGCTGAGATGTCGGTTCACCGGATTCATTGCGTTTGACTGCGAAAAGAGTATTCCGATGTCGATCAACTGTTTCTGAGACACAGGGGAGTATCATTGTATTTAACTGTTGGAGTCGGATCATTTGGTACAGTCTCGTCGGCCCCCCTGCCCTAATGGCTGTCAGAGATGGTATGCAGTCCGCTTGCAACGAGTAGCTAAGTTCGGTCGCCCCTGTTGGGCAGTTTGCGAAACATTGATCGCTGGCTCCGGTGGTCGGAAATGATCGTCTTCCCTAATCAGATGGGAACACACCGAAAGTTTTTGTACAGAATACCTACCGATATAGATCAATCTTATCACATTGATATTTTTTCAGATCAGTCAACGCTCTCTTTTGGGCGACAAAGAATAGTGTGGGTCATTTCGTGCTTTGCTCACTGCAATGTCTGGGCACAAATGAATACGTCCGTGGGGAAACGGCAACCGGATCATTTTCAGCGTACCGACAGAGTCTACTCAGTGGTTCCCCTTCGTACAACGCACTTTTCCCGACGAGGTTATACATTACTAAGGGGGATCGTATCGCTTTCCCTTCAGCAAACCACGAGCGAAATGTCGCGGTAGACAGTGCTCTCTCTACCTTTGACCCTTGTCGTCGCCATGCGCCTGCGGCTATCGTTCCGGTGCGGCGCTGTAAGGGGCCCCTTATGTTGCTCTGTTTGTATCGGTGACGACACGACACCCCTCCTAACCCCCGTTACGTCAACCACGTATGACCTCCTATTGCGTGTTCCATTCTCGCGCCGGTGAACCCTGCTCTTCCGCGGCTTGAATCTTTTAGGAACCTGGAGGAAAACTCTCTGGAGTGTTTGCCGCCCATCCCAACATTAGGATTGTGAGGCCCAACGGATGGATGAACGGTATTGCGGATGTGTCGTTTCGAACATGTTCAATATTGAAGACATTTCATGAGTTTCGGGAATCTAGCCAGCATCACATGCACGTATCCAGCACATCGTGCCAAATGGTTCGCTGCCGCAGTGGGTGTTGATAGTCAGAATATGCAGCGAAACGTGATCTGTGGAAAACAAAGAGTATGAGCCGCCTGGGCTATGGCGTTGCCCGTAATGTTCGAACTCATGGTGGGTTCTGATGCGTCACGCGTGGGTTCGCAGCAGAAATGTAACACCTGGGTTCGTTATTGCATGACACCCTGCGTTGCACCGCTCATTGTGATAACATGGGATCCCTTATGCGGAATCCCCTTCGTCTTGCGATTCTCCGATGAACCATGTTCTTCAATGGATTGATTGCATCGTCGATTGGACCTCGCCTGTGCATCACGCCCCACCGTGCACACACTTGGCAGGGGGGAGCTTGACGATGATACAATCTCATACAACGACATCGTCGGACTCCGCATTGACCCTTACGGCGAAGAATGCGGTGAGTGGTTCTCCGAGAAGATAGTACAGGTGTACTTCAATCTCCGTAAGGCTCAACAGGTAGCAAGTCGCCGCCCTTGCAAACTGCCCCATCAAGTGTGTCACTCCTTCTTAAGGGTGAACAGTAGCACTTTGCATCCCAAACTGCTGCAACGCGCCGCTGTTCTTGGTTGCTCTCCGTGGTGAGCAGTACGGAGATCCGGTGGAACGTCGCATTGGGTGGCGTCTATCATTCATGTGATCCTGCGTACTAACCATCGCAAATAGTTTGACGAACAACCGGCTGTACCTTGCCTTGCCGCACCGGGTACATGGAGCATGATGGGTCTCATTATTAATTCAGGCTCGGGCGTCGCTTGTCACGGAATCGATAACCGAAAGAGGCTGCAACACGATCTGGGCTGCATTTGTTTGGTACTCTCTTGACAGCTACGTGCTGTGTAGGAGCAAGTGTCTAACATCTCTACTCGAGTGTGGTGTTTTGGACGTCGCAATCGGGCGAGGGAGGCGGGTATGTTGGGTACCGTTCTTCCAAAACAATATATTTTGTCCCAAACGCGCTTAAATGATGCCCAACCGCAATGCGTTGAACACTTTCAGGGTGTTCTATTCTGGGCGTTACCGACAACGTATGCGGCGAAGAAATTTGCACTCCTGGGCCTCAAGGGTACACCTGTGGTAAGATGTAACAGACCCGAAATGCGTCGGAAACGATCGTTCAGGTTATATCCCTACATGGTGTGGCACAGATTCGCTCCCGGCCAACACAATTTGCTGCACTTGTCGGTGCTTAGCGAGTAGACGCAACTGCTGCCGATACCCGGATGCCCAAATAACCCCATCTGCGAAGATTTCAAAACAGCGAAAACCGGTTACAGAGCAGACATGTATCGTGGTGTGCAAGACGGAAATAACTCTGTAGCTGCTGCTGAGTGTGTGTGTGCCGTTTGTCTCCAAACCAAGGACAAACGTAATACGGTAGTCGCGAAAACCTTTCCCAACCCATCATCTATCCATGCCACCAAGGGAGGTCACCGCGAAGCAATGCCGATATGTAACATTTTCGCTTGTACGATATAACTAAACTACCTAGTTTGATAATCGCGCCACTGTCATGCCTCACTTTCGCCTACGCTGTCCCCCGAAAGCACCCATACCAGATACACCCGCACCGACATTTGCGCCAGAACTTACTATGGCACCCGTCGCGACCTCCGGAGGTAAGCTTCTTGTACGACTTGGTGCCGCTCTCTCTGTTCGACGGGGATATCACATACTAAGAATTGAATGAAAGGCTCCGAACCCTCCTCGTCCCTCGCCAAGGGGGGATAACCTCCTGTTTTGGTCCGAGCAGCACAGGGGATACCCTCGTTGGGCCGTTGCCGTGAGGTAGGGAACCCCAAACTCTATTCTCCCCCGGAGTCGTGCTTTATACATCTGAAGTCCTCCGCTCCCTCACAGCTACGTTGTATGCATTTGGCGTTTCATTCGGGAATTGACGAGACTGGTAATCACATCAAGTGAGTGGATGATCGCTGTGCCTTTCATGCGTCCTACATGCCGTTAGAATGCATGTCTTTGTACGATGTAGTCGGAATAGTTGTTTTTCAGACTGACATGCATGGCGGCGTTCTTGATAGCAAAATAGTTCCTGAACTAGTGTGCCGGCAGTTTCCCGACGGTTCATCTAGAACTGTCGTTTTCCTCCAAACCCATGCAGAGGATACAAAATAAGCAGTTTTTCATAATCAGGAGGATCAGAAAGTGTGCTCGTCCTTTCCGAACCCATAGATTGCGCCCACCCAGGCTCAAGGTCTTATGCCATGTTGGCTTTTCCGCCCATCCTTGCGGGGTGGGGTATTAGCAAGGGTCAACTGGTGATGATATTCTTGGTTGTGCTACTCACCCCGCCAAGACCCGCCGACCTAATATCTCGCACGGCAGGTTCGCCAGCACCGAAACTTACGCCAGAACCTACTCCGGCAATAGTCGCGACCTTAGGACCGGTCACGCCTGCACCGGTCATACCTGTACGGGGTACGCTTGCACCGCTCGGCACGCTTGCACCGTTTGGCACGCTTGCACCGGGGTCTGCGCTAGGATCTACTCCGGCACCCAGCACGGCCTCAGAAGGTAGGCGGCTGATTTGTTGCTACAATGTTTGAGATATAGACAAGGTGGGGTTCGGGTATATCTCGTCGGTGCACACGCAGCGCACGCCACAGCAGCAGAGGGAGTGGAAAGGAAGGCAAGAGCGGAGAGAGAGGCGGGGGAGAGTGTGACTCTTTTTGTGCGGCTTGACAGCGCACCGTCCCAGCTCTTCGTCCAAGCGGTGGATCATGGTGCGGTCCGCAGTGCGGTCGCCTCTCGCACAGACAGCCGTTGTTGTCGGAGGCCTGTTGTCGCACCTTTTGCGCGGGGATGGGATGCACATATATGGTTTCGCGGCTGTTCTCCGCATAATTTCCTTCTCTCGGCGTGAGAGGACCGTTGACTTAAACAGGGTGGGGCCGTTGAGCAATAATGGCTATATGCTTCAACAGAACGGGAATGCTCTGAAAGGGTTTAGCAGACTGAACGGGGGGTAACGAAAACAAGCTGGTCTGTACAGATGACATCATTTATCATCCGTACGTACCCTGTTCCGGGATGTTGATGGAAGAAAAACCGACTTCGCGTGACCAGCGATTTCCCGACGACTTCCCCCGCCTCCATGGAACCTCTTCATTACTCGTCTTTCGTTGTTAGAAGCAGATTCGTCGACGACCGGCATAGTAGTCGGCGTTGTGGCCGGCGCGCTGGCGGTAGGATTCGTAGCACTTGGGGTCTTCCTACGGCGGCGCCGACAAGCCGCGAAGGGGAAGGACGCCGACCCGTCGGCCCCTCATCTCGACTTTGGGGATAACCTGGAGCATGGCCACGGTGAACGTCAGCTGGACATCAGCCCTTCTGTACCGATCGTTGTCGCCGGGGGCAACGGTGCCGGCGGCCCGCCGCCTCCTGCTCAGCAGAGCTCCACGCCGCCGCCCCAACCCCTGCCCCCCCCGTACGCGCCGCACCAGCGCGATGCTCTGCCCCCGCCCCCCCCGTACACGCACGTTGCTGCGCACCTGCCCGATGCTCTGCCACCCGCCGCCGCCGATCGGCAGCACGCACCGGCCGCCGCTGAGACCAACACCAGCAACAATAGCAAGCCCGTCGAATCGTCGCTTGCAGCACCAACGGTGGGCGCCTTGAAGAAGTCCACCTCCGAGCAAGAGACCACACCCCCACGCGACAAGAACGGCGACGGTGGTGGCAGCAGCAGGACGGCGGATACAAGCGGAGGTGGCGGAGGCGACGCGGCGGGGGAGGGCGGTATCCACTGTACGGCGGAGCAGGTTTCGCTGCCGCGGGCGGCGACGAACTCCACCGCCGAGGTGTCCACGGAAGAACGGACCGCCGAGCTTTGCGGCCTCGGGTTTTCGGTCGACGAAGGGGCCGACGACGCTCCTCCTCCCGTGGCGGCTGCTGCTGCTGCTGCTGCTGCTGCTAGCGGCCGCCGAAAGACCTCCAGCGGCGTCGAGTATGGCCAGGCGGTGCTGGCAGCAGCCGAGGAGCTTGCGCACCATTGCCAGATCCCAGGCGTCAGTGAAGCCGCGACGGTAGTGTCGATTCTGGTACACTTGGTGACGGACAGCCGGGACTCCTTGAGCCGGGGCGACCTCGCGGTGAAAAGATGCCGGTCGATCGTGATGATGCTTGAGCGGGCGGCGAAGGTGCTTGGCAAGGTGAGCGACACGGCCCCCGTGTGGGTGTGCATCACGCAAATTTGTTGTCGGCTCCTGCGTGGTTCCAAGGCAAGAATGTTCGAGGCAGGCTTTCTCTTAGCATACTATTGTCTTTTGGGCTTCGACAGGCAGGATGGAAGGGCCAGCCACAGATGGTTTCATCTGTTTTGGTCTTGAAGACGGCCTGGGTATTCCCACACGTGACAAGGCCAGGCGGTTTGTCGCTGGGAGTTGTTTTGGTGCTTGGTTGAGCCTTGCAAGTCACCAGCGGCGTGCTTCGGTGTGTATGTTTTTTAGGTTGGGGTTAGTTTCATGTACATAAGAGTGAGGAGTGTTTGTTGAAGCGGTCACACACGGCGCCCCAACGCCCCTTCGATGTGCGTGAGTCCGTTCCCAAGGCGCCTTGATTTCCCTTTAAGTAAAACCTTTGCGCTCGATCGCTGATATCCAGGGTGGCGACACGAACTCAGAAGTTGAGCGCGCTTTGCTTGAGGAAGTCCACGACGCAGTCTCCGATCTCGTGGACCTAATCAAGACGTATCAAAACAAGAACAAGCTGTCCAAGGTTTTGATGTCGACCCTGTTCAAGCGGCGCCAGGAGGAGCTAGACGCGGTTGTGGACAAGGCCATCTTGCACCTGCACGTGAGTGATCGTGTGCACATGGGTGGCGTGTGAAATGAAAGGTGGTTCCAGGGACTATCGCGTGAGGGTCACGGGGGGGCATGCGGTCAAAGGAATCCACCCATAACAGGACCTATTGGAAAAGTGTCGGCATTTTCTGGATAGTTAATGCGACCGAATCTAATCTAGGTGTTGATGTCTAGCGCAATGGTCGCTCTCCAACTTTTTTTTGCTCAGTTTGTCTTGACACACAGCATGGGTACGGCCCCGATCGCAATGTCAGGTTGCGCGAATGGTACACTCTCGTCCCTCTCATGTCTCGCTTCTTCTCTAACTAATTTGAGTCTACGAAGGGCCATTCGGTGCGCGTCGATTTCTGTTTTAACAATTATTTACCTTTCTCGGGCGAGGGGGAGGTCTCTACTTCCCGTTTGCGGAAGCTAGGGATTTCTTTGGCGAAGCAAGGGTACACCTAACGGCTGCAACCCAGTGAGCTTACGTTCATACTCCGTGCAGTAGAGCTCCTCACGGCGTTGTTCCACGTCGCTTTCTCAGGCAGCTAGAACTAGATATTTGGTGAAACGTGGCCGTCGGCATTTAGATCGCTTACCACCCGCCGTTTTCCCCCATCGGTTGCTCGGACTTGTACAGCTGGGGTTACAGGTGCAAGTGGGACAAGATGTCGCGGAAGGGTTGGACCTACACAAGGTGACTGATGATATGAAACAAGACGGACGATCCTCAGGATTCGAAGTTCCATGTACAGTCCTCCGCAGGTTTCATTCTCATGGATTGAACCGCTGGCAAGGCAGGCTCTGTTCGCAGCCTTCCCTGGAACGCAGTATCGTCTGGTTTGGACCCCTTCCTGACGACCCATTTTCACCGCTTTGCACCCCACATTTCAGCCTGTTCCTGCCTTTTCGGCCGAAACGCTTCAGTGGTTGAGGAGAGTGCCATCGCGTATGGAATGCTGAGCGTTTTTGGCGGCCACCTTCCTGTTGGTGATTTGACGTTCGTTTTCGATGTATCACAGAGGTCTACGGCGGAGGCCAAGGCAGAATCTCTAGCGGAAGCACGCAGGGCGAGGAGGCAGCGCAAGCTCGACCAGGTCGAGATCCCCGATGACCACGTGGTCATCACGGAAGAAATGCTGGGAAGGGGGGGCTTTGGGGAGGTGTACCTGGCCGACTACAACGGCCACAACGCCGCAGCGAAGGTCGGGAGCCATTCTCGACCGATGCATAGTCCAACACAGCAGCTGCGTAGAGTTGGGCGCAGAGTCAGGGAGGACCAACCACCACTCGTTCTCAAGGAGTTTTTTTGTGTTTCACTCTTCCGCTGTTTTGTCTTCTTCGCTGTCGTGCTCTGTTTCTCTTCCCTGTGGATTTCTATGTCGCTGGGCGACACAGGTACAGTATATCATCCATGGCTTCGGCAGACGTGACGACGACGACGTACTAAACGGGCCAAAGAGCGGCCAGGCCGATGCCGTGCGAGAAAAGATCCAGCGCAAAGCGTTCCTGCGCGAGCTGGACGCCATGATTCGCCTCAGGCATCCTCACACCGTCAACGTCTACGGGGCCATCACCTCACTGCCGGACCGCCTGATTCTGGTCCTGGAGCTGCTCCCGGGCGGTGACCTCCGAACCATGCTGAAAAACTCTGAGCAGCCGCTTCCCGAGGAGCAGTCCCGGCAGATAATCAAAGACATCTGCGCGGGGATGGCCTTCTTGCACAGCAAGTCGACGGTGCACGGCGACCTGAAATCCGCCAATATTCTTCTAGATGCGCGTGGAAGGGCAAAGGCACGTTGGGCGTGGTTGAGTTTGTCTGAGCGTTTTCGTTGTTTCGGGCCGTGTGGGTTCCACCCTGACGGTCTTCCGAAGTTTTTGTTGGACGTTCACCTGTTTCCGACGCAACGGGTTTGATGTTTGGTGTGTACATCTTTTCGACTTTTTGTATTGTAAAATAAGCCGTTCCGACTTGTGCGCACTTCCTCACATTCCGTACTGATCCTATCACTAGAATTCGATTTCCGTAGTCACACAAGCTGAGTCCGAACCCAAGACCGACCAATGAACATTCATTAATATTGAACAATAGAGACCTGTGGGCTTGTCTTGTTTCTACGCACGCCCAGATTGGGGACTTCGGCACGTCGCGATGGACCCAGAACACCGAGAGATCCACGGGTTTGGCCACCTATACCACTAATCCGGGACCAAGCACGCACATAAGCTTCGCATGGACTGCGCCAGAGGTGACGGGACGGTCTGTTTTTTTTCTTCTTGACAGGCCCGAGGTGCAGGCTAAGAGCACGTTGATCTGGCGATTTGATGCACCATACCCAGTTGTGGTGGGAGTGCGTTCACGTCAGCTTTCAGTTCCTCTGACAATTGTGTCATCGTCGGCGCGCGAGCAGGTGCTGGAGAAACAGACAACCTCTAAGGCGAGCGACGTGTACAGCTTCGGGATAGTGGTGTGGGAGGTGTTGTCGAGACAGCTACCTTGGGCAGATCAAGCTCAGCCTCGCGACATTTACCTCCGTGTTGTCATTCATGGGGACCGTCCCGCGTTACCCGCGGATGCTCCCGTAGATATCGCGGATATGCTACTCGGCTGCTGGGCCCAGGAGCCCACTGAACGCCCCACGTTTCAAGCGCTTTCAGGCGGAGAAAAAGTCAAACCGGTGGTGATGAAATAGACTTCGCTTTTTCAATTCGCTGGAGGACTCTGTTGGTGTTTGTACACCTCCTGCGTCTATTTGTTGTTGTACCACTACAAGTATTTTCGTGCATTTTTTAGTTTGGACGGCATGAGACAAGAAATACTCATGAGATCATATGCGTATTGTTTTGGTCAGAACCCCGGAGTCTGTACTTTTAGGGTGTGTGAAGAGTTTGCTGTTCTGTGTGGCGTCTACCATGTTGAAGAGCGAGCGCAGACCGACGAAACCTCGCGCTCCCTTCGGGTGTTCTGGGGCTCAGTGGTACCACCACGAGGCAGTCACGGTTGGAAACTTGCGCTTGGAACACCACGCTCGGGAGCGTGTGACCACTTTTATTTGCCGCCTTTCCGCGAGGGACACTATAAGTTGTTGTGTATGCCCCCCGTCTATCCTTGCCCACCCTCTCTCTGTCTTCCCGCTCCGATAGAAAAGGCACTAACACTAGGTCGGGCATGGCCAAGCCCGGAGCAGGTTTACTGCTGCGGACGAGTGCGGGAAACGTTGTTTGTGGCGAAATATTTATTAGGATAGCATGTGGTCGGTGTATTTTTCGCTGATACTCTCGGTGTCGGACTTGCTCAGGGAGGCCCCGTACGACCGGAAGAGGCCAGGGTGGACGTGTTAGCAATGAGGTGCGTTAGAGATCCTAGTTTAGATCCACCGTTGCTGTCGGCAGGGTTCAAAACGTGACACCGTTGCGCACCCTAGCTGAACGCGCGAGGGCTTATTTGGAGCGTGGCCGACTTTGGAGTGTGACCGTAAGGGATCGTCTCTGGGTGTCCAGTAGTCCAAAGGGATGCCTGCGATTAATGTTAGTTTTTGCGATTAATAGCCCAAGGGAGCCGCCTTTGATTCACTTGACATGCGTATGTGTATGGGGCAGCCAGAGGTTCTGCGAAGATAAGTCAATGCCGGCGAGACGAGTGGTGGTATTCATTCCTTGGTGGCCCTTTGGAGGTCGGTGGAGTACCTGGGGAAGACAGCCAAGCCGCAGCTGTGAACGCGAGCAGCCTCAACGGTGGCACGGAGGCTTACGGTTAGCCGTGTTGTGTTTCTCATGGTGAGCCGCCGTAGTGAACCTTCCGGAGCGAAGTACGCAAACGGAATGTATGGGAAGATGATCTGCTGAGTTCTATGTAGAATCTCACCAAGAATGCGGCGTTTGCGAATTTGTGGCTCATCCACACTCCTCTGACGTGCCCGGTACGTTCTGGACTTGGTTTAGTCTAGCTGGTTACGACACGAAGGATTTCGTGATTTGGCACCCAATCGCCAATGCTTAGATTTCTGTAGTCACCAGCTGAAAAGGTTTTGGTGGTCACGTGCCTGTTGAAGAAAGTGCAGGCCGTGACGCCTGAACCGTCGACATGCACAGACGCTGGTGACGATGTTAAGGTGCTTACATGCAGGTTTTGGCGAGGCATATTGCACCCTAACCGCGTGCTTAAGCGTTCGACGGTACACATTTGTGCGATGTGCGGAACGTCACCATCTGGTCGTTCGGTTCGCACCGCGAGAAGGGATACGTGACGTTGCAAGCTATTCCTAGCCAACCTTCAGGCAGCATTCTTTGCGCTTGATTTAATGTCCTGTTCCCTAGCGCGGGGGATATATCCCGAAGCCCTAGCATTTGGCCGAACGGCACGGACGGGCGGATTGTGGAATTTCGTTGAGTCCGCAGTATGCGGACACCAGGCTACCATGTTCCTTCACGTCTTGTCTGTCACCTTCCCCTCGCATTCGAGGGGAACTATGAAGAAGCAGGCCCGCTGTTCGAGAGGACCCTTTAGGTTTTTGGTGCAGCCGTGGGTGAAGAACACCCTGACTATGGTTCAGCGCTCAACAACCAGGCATTGCTGTTGATCGAGCAGGTGAAAGCCATCACCAAGGTTGCAGGAGATTTCTTGTGGAGTTCGATCGATGGTGCAGTGCCCAACAACCGGGCATGGCTGTTGAGTATGTATTTCTCCGCGTGCATAATAAGATTCAACATGTTCCTAAATCTGTTCATACTTCAGGGAGAATATGACGAGGCGAGGCCGTTGTTTGTGCGGGCCACGGAGATTTTGGGAAACGTGCTGCATCCTCTCTGGCTAGCGACCACAGCCCTCAACAGCCGGGCGGCGTTCTTTAAGACCCAAGCGGCTTCTAGATGCTAATACGTTCCCCCGCACTTCTAGATCTCAGTCTGACTGAAATCCCACTCCATGATTGTCTGCCGAGGAAACCATTACACCATGACTTAGTTACTGAGATCGAGCCACTCTACGAGCGGTGACAGGCCGTACGAAGGAATATGCTGGGCCTGGAGCACCCGGATGTGGCTCATGCGCTCAACAACCGGGCCGGGCGGGCTTGAGAAAGTTATGATCGATCGTCACTTAGTTCTAGATTCCACTTGAACTGAGCTATGCATCCGACTCTGCTACGCTGTCTACGACTGCATGCTAGAGCAAGCACGCGGAGGCAGAGCCTCCTCTGCGTGAGCTGGCGAAGGATACCTGGGAGAAGAACCCCGATCCTGAGGACACAACTTTGGCAACCGTGCTCAGCAACCGGGCGGTGTTGTTTGCGAAGCAGGTGAGAGCCAAGGCGGTGCTTCTAGATGCGTCTGGTAGAACATGCTCCTCCGGATTTCTAGGTCTGAATTTGACCGAAATCCGAGTGTCTGCCGCACTGTCCAGTGCATATCGGGCAAGCAAACTGAGACCGATCCATTCTGCGAGAGCCCACATATCATCCGAGGGAAGGTGTTGGGCCTTGAAACCGGATGTGGCCTGGGCGCTTATACAACTGGGCGGCCGTGGATGAAAATATGTTTCTCCGCAGTTGTAGACCCCCACCTTGACTGAACGATGCATCCATCTACCACACTATCTTCTTCGCCGAGGTCCTCGAGGTCGTCGTTATCCGATTCAGCGGGGATGATGTTGTTCTGCGGAACCTGGTGTGCTTGTGGAGGAGGGAGGGGAAGACGGAAGCGGCGGGGGGGGAGGAGACACCCCTTGACCGAGTACGGAGGGCATATGGGGGATGCTGTATGCCGATGATGCGTGCGTCGTATCGAGGTCTGCAGGAGGACTGGCGAGAATGATGACCATCATCGTTGAGGTGTTCGGAGACTTCGGGCAACGGTGTCGGAGAAGAAGACGGAGACGCTCCTGATGCGCGCGAAGGACAAGTCGACTACAACAACATCACAGCCCCCCCCGCCTCCACCGCTGACCATCGAAGCCGCGGGACAGAAATACGCCCAGACGACCGAGTTCCGGTACCTCGGTGGCCTCGTCAACGAACATGGCGACCTCACCCGGGAGATCAGCTACAGGAGCAGAGGAGCGTAGGCGTGCCTCAGGCGATATGGCCAGGAGGAGCTCTTGGACAGACCGAAAGCGCCATTCCGACTCAAGATCCGCCTCCTCCAGGCGGAGGCGATGGAGGCACTACTGTACGGCTGCATGACATGGTCACCACTCAGCGGCCACTATCAGACGCTGCGGTCGACACACCACCGACTGCTCCTTCGAGTTATCGGGTACAAGGAAGCGCAAGAAAGACACCTACGGGCAGCTCTCTTATTATTATATTATTGGTCGATAAAATATAAAGAAGCACCCTTATTGGCCATTGTCTTCAAGAGGGTTCGCGGGTTCATTCTCGGTTCTGCCCTTGATGAAGCTGTGGTGCTGATTGGAAAGAGAGAGCAGCAGGACTAGCAGTGGGCAAGCCAGCTGCGTGGTGCTCGTTGCACTGCTGTGTTTCGTACGCTTGATGATTGCGACTGCGCGGCGGAACATGTGGGGGATACGCCATATGGACCAGGGGACACTGCCACCGTAGTGAGGCCCCACCATTGACGTGCCCCCCCGTCGCCGGCGCAAACCGGCGCCAAGCCAGGCTGCAGGGCAACAACACAGCAAGCACCAGGGAGGGCGGTTTGGCACCTCTGGAGGTTGCAAAGGGGTAAAAGCAATCCCTGCGATTGGTAGTAGCGTAGAGTATGTTCTATGGCGAGGTCTAGGCCGCCCTCATGGAGGGATTCGAGCAGGGGCTCTGCAGCATCATCGGTGCCTTCGAGCAACCAGCACTTTGGATCTCAGCATGTTGGCCAGGCTGATCCCGCGTTGACACTGGATCGAGTCATTGGGCAGGTAACTGTGTACGCCTGAGGGGACTGGAGGCGTTCGAAGTGATTCGGAGCGCCTAAGACTGTGTTGCAGTACATGTATTTCTGTCTCCAACAAGTTGTGCACGTGCGATCTTTGTTGCTACCCGCTCGCTCGTGCGCGGTCGAATAGCTGTGCGATGTTCTTCAACCAGGCTGGTTGCACGGCCTGCAGCTCAACACGCCTCTCCCCATCAATATTACTACTCCCGGTTGACACACTATGCAGCATGTCTACTGCTGTCACCCCCATCGGTCTCTACTCGGCTGCCTTGCACGCCGTAAATTGTACTCCGGCTTCAGCTATTAGCTGTGGGGATCACTGCTGTCACATGACCCAACTGCATCCAAGGGTAGATGTTGATTCCTCTTGATGATAAGAAGCCGGTTGACCAAACGCAAACGTTCGTTGCTCTATTGTACACTGGCTTTGCTTGTCCACCAACACATACCGCACCTGACTTGGCCACTTGAAAGGTTTTGGCGCCAGGAACCTCAACCGCGAGCCTGTTCTATGGACACGGCTGTAGACAAGACTACTGGCATATGTAGACAAATATCGTTACCGTTTAATGGTCACATGACCTTTTGTGGGTTGACCCGCACCCTCTGTGCTCTGCGGCCATCATTCGGAAAATCGCAAGACATGCTTGCACAACAGCGCTCTTGCCGTCAACCCCATCACGGGAGATGTGGCGTATCCGGCCGGCTGCGTCGTGGTCATCTACCAACCCAGGAGAAATCGGCAGTTCAGGTGACACCACGGTCCGCTGGGTAGACATTGGTCCTGTGTATTTCCCTTGAGTCTAGTAAATATCAAGTGTTTTTTAGTTTGAATAAATGAACAGCAACAGCAGCAGCAACAGCAGCAGCAGCAGCAGCAACGTCAACAACACGTGATATCCCACGACATCTCTGTTTGCAGCATAGAACATCGCGGAAATTTGCGGGGACGGGGATCAGATTCGCAACACAATGTCGTGTGGTGTACACGCATCCGCGTGACGAATGGCGGCGAATTTTCCGAAATGATGCGAAGATCCGCACTCTGAGCATTTACGTCTCCTGGACTTTTCTTATCCTTGACTACTTCCTTCCTGTCTTCTACACGGCCTGCCCCAATCTACCCAACGATAGGTACTTTCGTGCCAGCAAAACGGTAAGCTGCCTGGCTTTCTCGAGAGATGGAGGCATGCTGGTCGTGGGGGAGAGGGGACATCAGCCGTCGGCCACAGTGTGGAACCTCGCCACGGGTGCGGTTATCCGGGAGCTGGCGGGCGGGCACCGGTTTGGGATTGGCTGCATATCGTTCACGCCTAGCGGGGGCGGGGTCGTTACGATGGGTTTCAAGCACGACCGGATGCTGAGGGTAAGAAATCAAGGTTGCTGTTTTGTCGTGTGGGTTTCGCTTGAAGAAACGGCGGGGGGGTGAGTGCATTGCGTGAGTGCCTGGTATAGCTTAGGCTAACCAGTGTGGTATCTACCTGCACACAGCAACGTGACTCGTCACTCCCGTTTGTTTCTTAATTGTGTGCGAGGCAACATTTCTAAATATTGCAGCTCCAAGATATGCAGCGCCTAAACTTGGGAACGTGGGACCCACGGATAGGCCAACGCAGCCCAGACACGCACCATCTATCTACTCGTTTCTCTCTCCTCCCCCCCGCGTGCATGCAACGACCGCTGGCGTGAGCCACGGGATTTTTGTCCACTTTGGCTGGATTCTGTGGCGAAATGGACGTCTTCGTTCTTCATGGTGTCAAACGGCCGATGTACTAGTGGCACGCACACAAGATACGACTGCGGCCATCCTCCTTTTTGCGAGAGACATGTACTACCGTACGTGTCTCAACAGGGGGCGGGAATGGTGGTGTATCTCGAAAGAGGTGCTTGTTTGCTGGTGAAGCAGTTTTAGCAAGTCATCGAACCGGTACCCCCCGTGGCAGGTGTGGGACCTTCAGCTGGCGAGAGGGCGCACGGGAGTTTCATCGCCAGACCTGTCTCCGGACCGATTTGCTTGCCCCGTACCTGTCTACCCGTCTTCAGACCCAGAATCTCCGCCCCCTCCGCCACCGCCACCATCACACCCATCGAACGGTCGTTGGGATCCGGGCGATTCATTTTCGACGACAGCGGCGGTTGCGCCGAACAGACGAGACGAAGCTCGAGAGGTGGGAGGGATTGCGTGAGAGGAGTGCTATTCGAAACCGGATGGGAGTTTGTTTTGTTTTGAGGGGGGGAGTCGCGTTAGCCGCGCTGGGCAGCGAACAGAGATGGAATACAACAGAAACCCATCGACGTCATTGCGTTTGTTTTGTGTTCAAACCCAGCGGATGCTGGTCCTTGCATGAGTGGGGGGGCACAGTCCTTGCGGGTGCTTCAGAGGAGGAGTTGAGATCAACAAAGTAGACCATATTCCTTGAAATGTACCTTGACCTAGGATGTGTGCAACAAACGAGTAACTGATTTGGGGGGAATTTACTTGCACATGGGAGTATGAAGGTGCATGCGATATGTATCGGTGCATTTGGCATGGAAAAACCGACGAGGGGACGACGGCCGAACGACGAGGCAAAACGATGCACTGGACACCGAAATGGGAGGGGCTACGATAGCCACGATATTTCTCCTATTGCTTGACAGACGCATCACTAACAACGAAAACCGACCAACCCTTATTGAAACCAGGAACCATCCCGCGTCTGGAACGATACGCGCGGTCAACGGTCAATTAGCAAGTTCAGTAAAGCATGAGACCGCACCCTCGAAAGGTCCTGCCCGCTCTCACCCTTCACCGCCGCCCGGGTAACTTCCAGTACAGGAACGTTTCTTAAAGCTTACCAAGATTGGTGCTGAATACTACAGTAGTGAGGTGGTTCTGCGCGAATTGAGCCTCGTCAACCATACGAATTCCCACAACACGACAATGTTGAACATCACAACAGGTCGCCAGCGTTCGCGTGCCGCAGCGGGTCCGTGCGATGTCCTTCACCTCTGATGGGGAGTGCCTGGTCACATGCGGCGACAGCCACGTCAAGTTTTGGAAGATGCCCGAGAACGAAGGTACATCGGGAGCAGCAAACGGGGGGGGGTTCATTGGGATCGGCGCAGATGCTTCTCTTTCTGGCGCAGTCCCGACTCCCAAAGGTGGAGTATCGTCCCGCGGTGACAGCGGCGGTTTGGGAGTGGCCGGGGGTGGGGAGGTTTCGCCGGTTGTTGGCGTTCTTGAGGGATGGGCCGCCACCATTGGGGAAGAGCTTAAGAGAGCGACGTTCGTGGACGTCTGCTCATCGGGTAAGCGCAGCGGTGGCGGCGGCGGCGGCGGCCACGGAGGGGCGGGGGCGGCGGCTCTGGACAGCGTGTTTTGCGTCACCGCGGAAGGCGTGCTGTGCGCGTTTACTCGGTGAGTATCCTTCAACGTGCGGTGGTTGGAGGAAGTGGTAGTTTACTGCATGTCGGTTGAACACCGTTTTATGTAAATGGTAGTCCTGTACCGTCGAGGCAACACGTTCACCTCCCTGCTAAGATTTGGGTATGGGACGTCGGGTGTTCACTGAGTTAGTACCACAGGGCTCTACGACCAAATCGATTGGTTAAAGCCAGGACAGGGTGGCGGACTCCGGGAGAAAGCTGGCGGGGCTTGTTTGCAGAGGAATTCTTGATTAAGTGCGCTTCCGAGACTATATTTTCGTTGTCCAAGGTCCTCTAAGAGATGCCTATAGTGTCTTTTCTGAAAGATGCATATAGTGTCCTGTAGGCAGCCAGAAAGACGAGGAGGAATGCTACCCGCAATGCCCTAAACAGAGCAGTGACTGGTTGTTGTGGTCACACCGGAAGCTTCAACACGCATCTAACCCCTGCCTCCCCCCTCTCCCCCCACCGACGATACAAGGGGTGGTGTGATGGAGCATTGGGTCTCCTTGGAGGCGCCTGCTGCCTACGGCCTGTCTGTACACGAGGACGGCACGCTGGCTGTGGCCTGCGCCGACGGGGTTGTCAGACTGTTCAAGGCCGACAGCCTCGGCTACGTCGCCACCCTGCCGCGCCCGCCTCCGCTGGGCCACGCCAACATAGCCTCCGTGAGGGAGCTCCAAGAGATCGCCGACTTGTCGGCTGCGGCGGCGAAGGCTGGCGCTGCCAGTGGCAACGGCGCTGCCGGCGACGACGGTGTTGGCGCGAGCCCTCGCGCCGTGGCCGAAACGTCCTTCGCTAGTGGGTTTTGTGGCACAGGGGATGCTGCGCCCGAGGAAAATGACAGTGTCAACGTCGGAACCATCGACAAAGATGCGTTCGGCAAGGTGAAGAGTGGCAACGGCGACGCCAGCAGTGGACACAGGTCGGTGGTTCGGTATCCCGCGGCGCTGGGGTGCCGGCTTACCCCCTCCGGAACGAAGGTGGTGTGCATCTACGCTGACAGGGGGCTGTTTATCTGGGACGTAACGGACCCGCTGTGCGTCGGCAAGTACCGGTCGTTCCTCGCACACGGCGGCTGTATCTGGGACGTCCAGCGAATGCCCGGTAAGCGCCGAACGCTGCGCTTTTTACGCACACGAAACGGGGGTGAAACACGGACAACAAGCGGGGAGTAGAGATTTCTTTTGTGCCGGTAACCTCTACGATCGCTCGGTCGGAGAGACTTGTGAATGATAATCTAAACCGCGTGCCACAATTCAACCCTCTACTCGCTTATGTTTTCAATGCTTCAAGTTTCGCATATTTTCTCCTCTTTCTACACACACCGACACATGAGGGCATTATCCAGCAACCGAGCAACGGACGAGTCGTTCAGGGAGCCCGGGGGGTGGCGTACTCTTATGTTTTGCATGCGTTAGCGGTTTGACCATTGAGCGCGCGTCCTCGAGAAGACAGAGAATTGTTTCCACAGGACCGATGACCGATGGCCAATCATTCTTTCCTACTTTGCCAAAGGTGGTTCAAAACATTTACCCCGGTCTATCTACCCTATCCCTATCACTTCCCGCCTTTTCCACCCACTTCCTATATCCCAGTACAGCTACCGTATTCTCCTGGCTATATCATGCCTCAAACATCTCCCTGTATGTTCCTTCTACTTCTCCCAGCCCAGTCGTGTACACTTCCCTCTCTTTCTTGTACAATGGACACTCCGTATTGGCATGAACCCGGTCTTCGCCTTCGGAACCGCATTCACGTTTGAACTTGTCGTCTTCATCCGGTCTTCGCACTCGGAGCCTCAATCGCATTTGAACTTGTCGTCTTCATCGTCCACCGTCCTAAATCGTCGTCTACGTTCTCGAAGGTCAATGTCCCCGGTCCTAAATTTGACCTTCTGCTTTGTCTTTGCGTCCATTGGTCCATGTAGGTACCCCTTTTTGAACCCTATTCCTTCATTCCGTACAAATCTAGACCTTCCTTCTCCTCGGGGTCTGTGGTTAGATTCTGTTCTTCTCTCTCGGCGAAAGCAACAGCGATCTTCTCCTTGAATCTCTCTCGACCTTCCGTTTCTAGTGTGTCACCTTCGTCAAGTCCTTCCATACGTCATCTACAACCTTGGCCCACTCCGTGGGTTGGCTACCCCTCCTCTTGCTTAGCTGCTTTGCCTCCCAAGCTATTGTCGGCAACCTCTCCTCTCCCATACCGTACATGCGGTACTGCCATTTTGTTTTCCTTGTGCCTCTTTCCGATCGTAAGGCTTGGGTCCCCAGATATTCCCTGACGGCTGCTTTACGTGTGAGCTTTGAGCGCCCTAGGATGATTTTCGCTGCTTTCATCTGCGCCGCCTCGAGCTCTGACTACGTTCTTATATCCTTTCCATGCTTCTTCGGCGTACTCTAGCGGCGGTACGATTCCGCTATTCAATCTTGCCAATCTGTGCGTGTATCGAGGTGCCTGTTTGCGCGTATTGGGTACAGCTTCCCTGCTCGTGCTTTGCCCTTTTCCGCTACCTCGGACATGTGTGCATTCCACGAACAGTCTACTCCCACGGGGGGTTAAAAACTCCGAGACAAGCTAGGAGCCAGATGACAACATGCTCTCCATCATGTTCGTGTATTCGCGTGGAAGTGTAAAATTCATGGGCCCCGGAAATATCTCGTAAGAACACCTTATCACACGGCGTGCCCCGTGCGTCTGTCATCATTTCCGGCGCAGCGAAAATCCCCACGCTTCCGGGGGCTGGGAGTCAATCGCCCCCTGTCCCAGACATCCCTGCCGGGGCGATGGTGACTTGCTCGGCGGACAACACGGTTCGAGTGTGGGATCTCGGGGCTCTCGATGGGAAGGGCACTGGTGATAACGAGAATCGTCACTCCGGCAGGCAAGTTGATCAGCAAACGGTAACGATCATTCGACACACTCCGATTTGGGGTCAGGTAGTCGAATCGGGAAAGCTTTCCCGTCATGTGTTTCGGTTTCCTTCCTTTTTATCACAATGCCCTGTTTGTCATGCCATTCGAGACTAACCATCATGGCCACCACCACCAACAACGTGCACATTCTTCCCGCCGTGCGGCTGCGACCGCGTTTTTGCCGCTTCAGGTGGTCCAACATCTACAGCAAGCACCTCCTGCGTGTGCTGTACGCCAGTGGGGAGAACACTCGTGATTCCAATGGAAACGCCAACCCTGGCAAGAACGAGGGACAAGGAAAGCGGGCGCCGAATGAAAGCTTCGGGAAGAAAGCTGGCAGTAAGACTGGACGTTTCGACTACTCGTCATCTTATCTTCCAATTTTGTTCTTATTTCTTTGTGTTTCCATGATTTTGGTTTAGCTAGCCTGGATTTCGGAAAAGTGAGGCAGTTAGCGAGCTGTACGTGGCGGGGGTGTTCAGTACTCTCAGCGGTAGATTCGGAATATCATTTCTCCAAACACAACACCTATGGTTGCATGCCAAGTACTGCCGAAAATATATGCCTGCTTCGATAAGACTATGCGCCCACCTAGGAGAAAGTTTGCGGCTTGAGTACGACGGAGTGAAGTTCTCCTCCCCCACACCGACGTTCCAGCTATTGTTACTGGCTGGACCTGTGCACCACTCATGCTCGCGAAGTTCGTTGAATTCACGCGCATGGTCTAATCATCTCAGGAAATCCCTTCCTTTGGCGGGACGGGTGGATGCGGGAGAAAAAATGAAGATGACATGGGAGGGATCAGAAGGCGACGGCATGAAAAAATCAATATGTGTGTTCCTTTCTGGATCGTTCATGTGGGGTATTTTCGCACTGACCTAACTGGCTCGTCGATACCTTCGCCGAGCCCTGAGCCGAGGGGTGCTTCGCGCTGGAGCAAGCTTCAACTTGCGTACCATCTCGACAAAAAAATCCCCAAAACTACGAACAGACCGTGAAACATTAACCTTATCCCTCGCGCGCACCCCTGTTTCCTTCGACGACAAGGGATTTTCAACTACTTCGGGGACGACGCGGCGGCGAAGGAGGTGGCTCTGTCGGAGGGGGCTTTTGATCCAGAGATTCCACACAAGCCGGAGTGGTCTTGCTCTCCCAGGAGTCTGGCGGTGCACCCTGATGGCTCCCAGGTGTGCGGTTTTGTTGCTGCCCCTCTTTACCATCGTCTCTTTCATGTTAATTTGACAGACACCGGTTATCAGCGGATATTCTCGCTTGCCACTCCGACTCGGTCGACAATGGGGGCGTTGTCGTTGCCTCACCTTCTTCTCCTTACCTGAAAACACGCGGGTGTTGACAGTTCTACTGTCAACACCGTCCTGGCCTCTATCCAGCTCTTCCTTTCCCTACTGTTAAGAGGAAAATGTTCAAATCACCGTGGTCGCAGGCTATTTCCGGGCAAGAAGCATTTGAAAAAAGAGGAGAAGCGGGCACACGTTAAATCCATTCACGAACGGATGAATGGGTTAGAGAGAAACAAGTGATTGGATGTATTTTCCCTCCTACTTGTCACATGTATGCTGTTGCACTTCTGCTAAAGGTGGCTTGCGGAGACAAAGGAGGCCGCATCTGTGTCTACGACCTGGAAGAAATGGAGCTGGCTCACATACAGGTGGGCCAACATAGCTTTGCGGTGGATTCGTTTACCCCTTTTCTTCTGCTCGTCTGTGGTGGGGGCAATGATGGCAACTGGGGCGGAATAGAGACGGGCTTGGTACTTTTCAGGGCGAACCCATATTGCCACGGTGAGAGACGGCCGAGATAGCCTCCTTTGGTTGCTTCCACTGCCGACTGATGGCGTGACGTCGGTGCTCTCGTATTGCGCCCTGGTATGCATTTCAACGCCACTACCGCTGCACCAATGTTGTCCCTGCTATCCTCAAGCCGTGGTCGCCTCCTTCTCATGTTTCTTCCGCTTGGCATCTCCCTACCGGGCGGCTGGGCAAACGATGATGGCGTCCTGGCCGTTGCAAAGTGCAGCGTGCACACGACGCTGAGGTCCTGTGCCTGGCCTACTCCCCTCTCATGGTTCCCGCTCCCTGTGGCGGGCGCAGTAGCAGCACCTCCCCAACTCCACCCTCCCCCGACAACGGTGGCGTTTCGGGTGACAACAGAGAACGTGGGGCAGGCGATGGCGGGGATGCCAGTGGCGCGAAGTCACTCTCTTCCACAGGGACAGTGTTGGTGGCGACGCCACCCCCGTCATCAATTAGTAGTAGGATTAGTGCGGCGAGGGGTGTGGGCGCTTGGGATGCAGTGGACCCGCTTGACCCTGACGGCGCCGCGAAGAAGATACTCTCTCTGTCGTTGATGTCGTCGTCGTTGCCGCCGTCGTCGGCGACAGCGGCAGCCGTGCCGTCGGAGATGGGCCGAAACGCCGGTGGTCGTGAAGGGGATGCCGGCATATCGCATGATGACGTCATCGACCGTGAGAGAGACGAACGGTACCCCGAGAGAAAGGAGTGTCGCCGGAACGAAGGCGGAGAAGGAGAAGATGCCCCATCCAACGACGCTTGTGCTCCGCGGCAGCAGAGTCAGACTGACGACTCAATCCGCCGCAGCCCGCTCGTGCTGCTGGCTTCGGCGAGCCGCGATCGTCTCGTGCGCGTGTTCGACGCGTCACGGTCACCTTTCGTTTACAGTGCTGGGGCTGGTGTTGGTGGTAGGGGGGCGGGCGGCGGCAGCGGTGCCTCCGAGGCGGCGACAACGGCGGCACGAGGGTCCGCTGCTGCGTGTGCGGAGAACGTTGTGGCCCACAGGAGCTCAAGAGGGAAGGAAGCCGGGCAACCAGGAGCGAGAGAGAACGCGGCGAACACGGATGCAACGGCCGCTCCAGGCGGTGCAGCTGAGACGGGGGTAGGGGCGGCGAGTGAGGCGGCCGGACTTCCGCTATTGACGACTCTCGACAGCCACACGGGCTCCGTTAGTGCCGTCAAATTCTCGAAGGACGGAAAGAGGTAATTTGGGAAAATCTTGTTTGGCCATAGGTCCTCCAGAGTACACCTTCGTCAAACACACATGTATGTTGTCGTTGTCCTAGAAACTCACCGGAGGAAGGAGTGTTGTGAGCAATCACCGGATTTGGAAGAGGCATGTGTGGAAGAAGAGTGTGATAAGACGCCTTCTGTGTCGAAGCTTCAGGGAAGGACGATAGAGAGGCGGGCGAGCATGAGCATGGGATGGGGGCAACGGGGATATCCCACCAATGCTGCGCGTCGTTGTCGGCAGTTGCTGATGTTCCTTCTCGACAAAGCATGCGTAACGGAAGAAACCTTGTCGGAGACCAAAATACTGTTTGTCAGGTGTCCAATACTTATCTATGATCGTCTTGCACGGAATAATTTGGATTTTCGTTCTGTGGTGTTGTATCGTGCTGTCGCTTTGAACGGCGGTGACAGGCTCATTACGGCGGGAGGCGATAAGACGTTAGTCCTGAACAGCGTCAGGGGACCGCACGTTCACAGGTAAAATTAGCAGACGCTTGTCGTGTGGTGTAGCACCAGCATTCGGCAACGTCTAAGGCTGCCAATGTGCTTCAAACAAAGTCAACATTGCCTATCGATTTTCTCGTGAAACGGCCTGGAGCCATTGAAGAAAACCTTGCGAAAGTAAGAATAAAAAGGGTCGAGGCAGGGTTCAAGGAAGACCCCGAAAATAGTGGGAATGTGGCGTTAAGTTTGATGTAGAGTGTCGGGACGGCCCATCCCGATGTATCCCATCCCGATGTTTCCCATCGGGAATCGTAAGGCAGCCAATGTAGGAGACTCGAGTCGATCATGGCCGTGGTACAGTATACTTCTTGGAGTAATATTCAAAGTTCGAGCTTCACCATACCCCGCCAAGACCACACCCGATCATGCTTGATACACGAACTAAGAAGGCACGGAGCACGGAACTTTGGCTGCACCGCTAAGATAATAACTACTGCCGCTGGATTTCGATATGCATTGGTGGTGAACTGGGTTTGTTTCCGCTGCCGTTTCTTCCGCCCATGATGGATCGCAGGCTGAGAGCGGTGAAAGTCCCGCAGGGCACAATCTACGGCCTCGACGTCGACCCCACCAACAAGTACATCATCACCGCCGGCCAGGTAATGACTTCTGTTGTGGCTGCAGAGGGAAGCTCTGTGACTCGTCGCGTAAGACTGAGATACCCAATGTTTATTCACCACTCAGATCTTGGGCCTTGTCGCGATGCACGAGGCCAAGAGCAAGGTACACTATCACTTTCTGGTGGATGTGACGTAGTTGTTCAGTTGTCATCGAGGTAGAAGTTAACGTGGCGACCATTTCTACACAATGTACGAACGACGATTCGCAAGATCCGTCCGCTCTCGATGCGTACAGCACTTGTGTAGTTTATCGAAAAAATATTGTGATCCCGATCACCGGTCCGCAGACAGACGGAGTCATCGTGTGGTTTCTGGCGTGCATGCTTTTGGCCGGTTTTATGCGTCGTCACGCGCTGCTCTACGTAAGTGGTCTGCTGAGAATGACGGGGAAGCAACTGGGTCACTCTCTCGATGTGTGTTGGTAGATTGTGTTTGATTTTGTCTCTTGGAGACGTTCCCAATGGGTGGTTCCCTCGAACCTTCCCTGTCACATATCGTACATGATGAAAATTTGTGCATGGTTTTGTGTAGTTGCGAAACATCTATAATACTACGGAGAGCAAGGCCCACGTGGAATTTCTCCTTTCCACCCCCACCCCGTGTGCCGCTGAACAGGACAAACGCCTCAATATCTGGAGCACCATTTCCGGAAAACACGTCAGGGCGTACCAGGTGGAACCGTTAACGAAGACGCCAAACCCATCGCCGTCAGCCGAATCGACAGCGGGAGGACAAGGCGGTGCCAGCGTGGGGGAAGGCCCACGAGATAAGGGAGACACAGGGGGGGAGCTTTTCAAGGTCGACTTGGATCCCACGGGGATGTACGCGGCGGCGTGCAGCTTCGATAAGGTGTGCGCGCGGTGCTCGATAGCTGTAAGCGTGGCAGCATTATGATTCTTTTTTTTTTGCGGTACTTTCTCATTGTGCTACTGTTATAGTTCACGTTGGGAACGCTCCCGCTTGTTTTTTCGACGATATGACGAAAGAATTGTGTTGTTTCCATCCCATACCACGAAGAATAGTCGATCGTGTTGCATCTTTTATCTCCCCTTGATGCGGATGGTGAGGCTTTGGTCCAATCCTCTTTTGTCACTACATGTATGCTTTATGCCACGATCGCCACTAAACCGTTCCGCGACTTGTCGCACAGTAGCGGTCTGCTGACCGAAAGAAGGCATATAAACAAGCTTTCATATACACTAAATGCGCATCGTTCACATTGGCTGGGCTCGATTCTTGCTGTACGTTAACGTCTTACGATAAATACAAACGCGACAACGAGCAGTGGATCCGACTCTTCGATTTCTACTCTGGGGAGTGTTTGGCGAAGGTGGCGGGCCACAGCGAGCTGGCGACGGGCGTGAGGTTCACCCCTGATGGGCGACGCCTCGTTACCACGGGAGGTGAAGTGGGATAGGCGGGGTACTCTCGCGGTGTTCCTGCCGAACAATATCGACAGTCGCATCCGAACCCTAGTATGGAGTATGTCCGACTTTCACGATGGGGGGGGGCCTTCAAGTAGTGACGCGAGGGTATTGGGATTTCTTCCGGTATTTAGTTAGATGGTGTGGGTTCTGCGATCCTTTTGTGAAGCGGGCCTATGCGAGAATTTGGACCATCGACCAGGAGGCACAGAGGAATAACACCTCATTCGCCGTTGTTTCGCCTTCGCATGCCCCATCTTACCCCACGATTGGGAACCTGAAGGCGACGGGGTAATGTTCGTGTGGCGACTTTCCTCGGAGCTGCACGAGTCCATGCGAGATAGAATGTGCGAGCTGAGGCCAGGGGGAGAGACGGCAGGTGGTGGCAGCATTCGCGGGACTCGTGACGGTGGCCGTGGCGGCAGTACGTTGTCGTCGGATACACCAACGCCGACATCGGCAGCAGCAACAGCCGCGGCAGCAGCAATACCACCGCCAACACCGCCAATACCGCCACCATCGGAGGCAAGTGTAGACGAGAGATACGTATCCGGTTAATCGAAACAGGACCGCTTGGGCCGAATACGCCAATCGTTTAGTTTAAGCACACCCCTTGGGCAAGAAGGCCTCGGAAACCGCATATACCAAGAAGTATTCACTTGCCACAGCGATCTGTGAGGAAGGCAACAATCCAGTTTTTTCACCGGGTGGAGGCCCCCCAATAGATGCAATGTTGAATGGAATGGCCGGTGCTGAGTGAACACGACCTGCTGTGCTCCAACCGCCCTTGTTTCATATCAAGGCCATACAAGTACCAACCGGCAGAGTCGTCGCGACGTTTCCCCGCCTCAAAACAGCGCCACCCTTCATCATCCGTCGGTCGTTCTTCCACGAAACACGGCACTCTTCGGATTCTTCCACTCTTCTGAAGAACGCTTATGCACCATGTCCCTTTCGTAAAGAATGTATCGCTTCACCCTTTCCGGAATGGGCGGCCAGTAACAAATCGTTTTCATTGGCTTTCATCGCGCAGAACCCGGCTGCACGAGATACCGCCGAGACTGGTGTTCCAACGACCGTAACATCGGGAGATCTGGGGCTCTCCGCGGCAGATGGTGCCGACCACAACGGGGGTGACAGCGGCGACGGGGCACGGGACTCTGGGCTGCAAGCGGGGCCGGCAAAGGGCGGCATGGACGCTAGCGCGAAAACCAAGTCCGTGACAGACAGTGCCACCGACAACGGGGGTAGCAGCGGCGATGGAGCACGGGGGCCTGGGTCGCAAGTGACGCCCGCGAAGAGCGGCGTAGAGGCTCGCGCGAAAGCCAAAGCTGATGCAAAGGCCCGCCTTAGGTGAGATAGAACGGTGCTGGTGTCGAAGTCTCTGCAGGCGCACATTTGTTGCCGGTTGGACTCTTAACCCCCCGAAGTACCTCCGTTGGTGAAGGGAGTCTGACCGATGATAATGTCGGGATGTTCTCAGTGATCACTGGTAAATTACGAAGTCCTTCCTGTTAGGCTCCAACTTTTGCCTGTGTGAGAGGCTTTTGTGTCCGTGCTCCTACGCAGTGGGGTGGATCACGTTGGAATTGCGTCCACCGGCTCGAATGGCAACATAGCCCGGGAGGTGCTCAGCAGCCGGACCGCCGGTCGCGTCTGATACTGCCTGCGAGACAAGTTGTGAAAAGTAGGCAGGGGGCGAGGCGGGGGGAGGAGAAGGTCAGAAAATGAGGCGAGCTCTCGGAAAGTATGCTCCTTGTGGAGTTGGCGTGAGGAACTGCAGTACGGTTTGAGTTCACCAAGACTTATGAAAATCCAACCCCACGCAAACTTCCTGGGCATGTCTGTTGGGCACGCGTGTGCTTCCTGCGGCTTGATGCTCCCGAAGGTTTCAGAGGTACCAACTCCCGGCCTGGGCGCACACTCAGCAAGGGTTAGCGCCTACAGCCACCCCGGCAGCGGCAAACACCCCGCCCTCGTCATCAATGCCGGCGAAGGATTCCCTTGGCGCGGAAAAATCCGCTTCAGAGGGTGCAGAAACAACACCTGTAACTGGATGCAGCGGTGGGAGTGACGGTGGCCGCGGCGGTGCTGGACTTGGTAGTGTTGGTGGTGATGGCTCTGGTGATGCTGCGGCGAAGGTTGATGGAGATATTGTAGAGGCGGAAGTAGGTGATGTGGTCGATCTTGGCCGGGATTCTCCTCCGCCGATGTTAGCGGCTTTGGTGCCCACTGTCCCGGTTGGGGGCGGATCGTTTTCGCGAGATCGTCGGGGCAGCAAAGAGAGCAGCAGATCCATCAACGACGGCCAAGACGACGGAGAGTATGGCAGTAGTAGCGGCGCCATCATTGAGACCAGAACCGCGAGCAAGACCGCCGAGACGAAAAGTGAAAGCACCAACAACACTGAGGCCGAAGCCAGTTCGCCCGATAGCAGTTCGGGCGTCACATACGGTGGATCCTCGTCACCATCCCTCTACCTGATCCCACCAACGTCCGCTCAGCAGAAAGGAGCCGCAACAGTAAAAGGTAAACAGAAACTGCAGAAAGCGACAAGCCCGGAGCCGGAAGCAATGGCGGCGATCCCCGCTGACGATATTCGTGTAGTCATGCCCACGACAGCTGCAACGACGACGTCACCTTTGAGAGAAGGCAGAGATGCTGCTGCCAAGGGTAGTGGAGGCGGTCGTGCCCCGGTGATATCTCGCGCAAGATGGGGGATTCGTCGAGAAGGGGTGGCAGCAGCGGCGGGGTCGGCGAAAACCGCGACTCCATCAGCACGAGGGAGCAAGGGCGACGTGTTGGCTGCGGCTCGCGGTCGGTGGGAGAGGCGCGGCGTTCAGGAAGAGGTGGGACTTCACGCGGCATGTAGCTCATTCGAGCTAGTCTGTTGGTGAATCCGACAAGTTTGGTTTCGGGGAACGGGCGGGAGTAGGTGCGGGGTCGACGACATCAGATCATTGGGAAGTGCACAAAATGCAACTGAGAAGTCACCCTTTCTTGGTTCGGTTTTACGTGGCGGGAAGAACAGGGTTCGGCAATCGTTCTTTGGTAATTTCGACCCTTCTTTGGGTAAGTTTGAATGTTTAGGTTTCATCCGAAACGTTTGTAGCCGGAAAATATACCAGCATTCGTAGAATAGCAATGTTTGGAAAATCCCTTCATGCCGGCATCGCTCGGCCCACGGATCGACTGCTCGCGGGTTGTTGTTTGATCGGTTGACCGTATTGAGGCATGCGGCGCACTTGTGTGTGATGTGCCATGAAGGAGCGCGTTTAACGCTCGTCCTTTCGAAAGCAATCCTTTCCTTGGTTTCAGCCAAGCGTTTGGGTGCAGGTGCGTGTGACTTTAAGCTTGTCTTCGTTTTTCCGCCTTGTTATGACTTGCTTTCTTCGAACGGTGTGAATGTCCGGTATACTCTAACGTTTGCAGGGATCACTTGAGATTGTTGGACATCGAGCGGGAACGAAGAACAATTTCCAGAAATTTTCCAACCAGACGTCGGCGTCGGCGGAACGGGCGGAGGAAACCCAACAGGCGTCGGTGGCCAAACCTGATGGAGGCACAAGTGTGGGCAAGGCGCCGGCGAGTCTGGCAGAGTTTCGAGAAGACGAAGACGGAGTAATAATGGGCGACCCAGGTAAATATCACAGGAACGGTGATGTGAGGGAAGGAGCGGTGGGGACTTTCTGGCCTCGTTGCTTGTGGACGCGAGCACTGCAGAGGAGTGAGTGTAAAAGTTTCTTGGGACGAACCCCGATCGATGCGGACCAGAAGAAATGAAAAGGCTGCAAGGCAGCGGGACACGTGAAAGGGCCGATATAATGACGAACCAAAGAGAGCGACGGGTATCCGTACAGAAACAGGAAATCAGGAGGCTAGGGACCTTTTTTTTTGGATTTTCGCCATTGTCCCACATTTTCCACTCCCTCTTCGCCGATTGTTGATGCATTTTCCCTTCCTCCGCCCTACGATGCCGGCGATGGCGATGACGACGCCACACTACGCCAAACTCTTGATTTCGTTCCCCCCAACCAACTCACTTGCTTTGCTTCCACGACGAACCACTCGTTTAAACTACGTAGACGACCATGAAATGGATGAGCACGAGTACTCGATGGACGACGACTTCGAGGAGGCCGGCCTGGGTCGAGCGGGGGCAAATGAAACGCCAAAGATAGACGAACCTGGGCCACCACCTTTCGTCGCCGGAGGCCGGGGTGGCGACCTTCGGCGCTCCGAGGACAATCGCGAGCACGATACGCCCTCCCCTTCTGATCGGAAAGGACGGGCGTTGTTACCGTCTGACCCCACCCCCGTTGCCGTTTCCGGCGGACGTGACAATTCTTCTCCGTGGCACGACGCTGGAAACGGTCAAGCAATGTTCGTTCCGGAGGCCCGGGAGGCGGCGAAGATGCTTCTCGACGATGTCGAGCGAGATGGTTTGAAGGAAACCGGCGACCGCAGACACGACGGGAGCGGCGCTTGTGTGGATGGTGACGACGCAACAGCGGCAAATGTGGATGTCACAGATGTCAAGTGTATGACAGCTAGTACGGCGGTCGCGCGCCCTGTGCCACCGTCGGCCACCGCGACAACTGCTGCTGCTGCTGCTGCTAATGATGATGATGACGACGATGTTTCTCTGACAACGTATGAGGGGGTCAAACATGGAGGAAATTCTTGCAATGACGACAGCAATCCGGGTAGTAAGGAAGGTAGCAGCAGCCTTCGGAGAGGAAACAGCTTCCGGTCAAGAGCAAGCGGCGAAGGTAGTGCCGTCGCCGCGTCTTTGGAGGGAGGAGGCCGACCGGGGCCCACCACCTCGACCGCTAGCAGTGAGTCCTCGGAGAGAACTGCTGCGGACCAGAGGGAAGAGGGTGCGTCGTCCAAGAGGGGCCGTCGAATAAGCGAGACGGAAGGAGCGGTGGAGACCATGAGGAGAAAACTATCCGCGATGGGGTTCCTGGAGGCCGGTGGTGACAATCCCAGCTGTGAAGACGAAGGGGCTGCCGCCGCAAAACATGTCGGTGAGGAGAAGAGGTTTTCCCCAGTCAACGCGCTTTCTAAAGCGCCCAGACAATCCGCAGAAGGCCGTGGTAGTCCCCTTGTCAGCGGGAAGGGTGCTACTACTGTTGCTGCTTCCACTGTCGATGCGGAGACCGAAGAGAGGGGGCGTACCGGCAACGCCGGCGCCGAAGATGAGGGCGAAGATCGTCGAATAGCTGCCGAGCCCGCGGCCTCTTCACCCCCTCCTCCTCCTCTGCCGTCACGACCACCACCTCCACTGTCACGTTCGCCTTGTTTAGAGTGCCGCCCAGCTGGACCCGATGCGGACGGATTTCGGACCGATGAAGTTCCGGTCGCCACACCAATCGACTCCCTTACGGTGGACGTGCAAGGTGCCGATGACGACGGTGTGGAAGCTAGTTCGAGCGGCTTAGGCGACACACCTTCTTCCAATCGAGGGACGAATGCGGGCCACGAACACCCGCTGGAGAGTGGAAGTTCATCGATCCTCTCGTCCGGTCGTCGCCGGCGCCGCCGGTATCACCACAGCCGCCCAGAAGAAAAGAACGTGGACCGAGGAAGCGTTTCCCCCTTCACCGCCAGCAACGGGGTCGCGGTCGCTCTCCCGCGGCCGGACAAGGAGTACGAGGAGGCCCTCCTGCGTCTCACCGAAGCGGCTTCGCACGCCGCAGAGCTGTACCGGGAGCTCACGGAGGCGTCTTCCGCCTCTCTCGTGTCGCAGGAAACGGAGACGGGGACAAGGGCGGGCACCGAGGACGAGGGATCAGGTGTGGGGTTGGAATCCTTCCCCTCGATGTCGTCGGTGGGGCTTGGGAGTGCTGTTCGCAAGCTCACACATGCAGGTAGTTTTTCTGCCTCAGACTCCGACTGTGAAGGCTTGACACAATTTCGCGTGGGTTCATCGCTACCGTGCTAGCGTTGGCAGTCAATGTAGAGACCAGAGAGATGTGCCAAGCCCTGAATTTTCGCGGTATTCCCGAGAGAAGTTCGGGTGAAACGCGCATCCCACTTACGGACGCGGTGTTGATAGATGTGCTTGTTCCTTTTCACATTACAGGCAAACATGTGTAGGCTGCGATGATCCTCCTTTCTTTCCGTGCCGTTGTAGTCGTCAGGAAGCGCACAATCTCCAGGAAAACGAACAGCATGAACCCATCTACGAGACAAATTAATGCAGAACAAAGGCACACAAGAGCGCGTGTAGGCAATTGCGCGGACGTTTTCGTGGCCTGTGCTCATTTCGAATCGGGCTCGTTACCTTAGACTGCGTTCCGCATGTGTGAACGCATGTGTGGAATCTTGTTCAGGCTAGCGTTTCGGTTGGATGGACAGGAGGTGATGCATGATTGTACTGCTCGCACGCCGTGTGTCTTCTGATTATGGCTTTTTCTCAGGTGGCGAGCACGAAGAAAGAAAACAAGGCAACGGCGGCAGCGGCAGTGGCCGTGTAGCAGCGTTAACATCATCGCCATCCATGGCACCATCGACTTCAATGAGCCATCCAGGAGAGTCAGACGGGGATGACGAATCTTATGACGATGACGACGAATGGGAAGATGAAGAGGAAGTACTCGATGAAGAAGACCCCCATGCCACAGCAGAAAACAGAACAGGCCAAGGACAGGGAGGGGTTCGAGATGGGCTGGGACAACTCGCTCTCGAAAGATCGTTTAGGGAGAGCTTCGCCTGCGTAAACGGCATCTTGTCAGTTATGGCGGGCAAGGGGATCCCCGCCGCGTCTCCAGCTTCGCCCTCGCCAGCAAGTATTGGCGGGAGCTGTGCCAACAGCAGCAGCGGTAGCGGCTCTGTACCGGGTGCTGCCAGCAACACCGGCAGCACCACCGGCGGCAGGCTTGCAGCTATGAGCAAACACAAGATTGGCACGGAATCATCGTCGTCGCACCAGTCAGCCGAAAGAGATAGGGGCGGACTAGCCTCACCGCCGGGCCTATCCTTATCGTTCCTCCCTCCACCACCCAGACGAGCACAGGCGAGAGAGATGGCGAGCCCTGGCGGATCGGAGACGATAGTTGGGGGGTTAAGGGCGGTGATTCCTGGCACAACGGCGGAGAAGGTTGAGGCTCTACCGGTCGCCGAGGCTGGCGATAAAGGGGCAGGTTCGGTTGAGTCGAGAAGCAGGCGGGCTCTTGGTGGCGCAGAAGAACAGCTGCCAGCAGAGATGACGGGCATGCTTCACCGATACTCGGAGATGATGCTCAAGGTGGTGCAGGTAGGCGACGCACTTGCGATGGGTGGGACGGATGCTGAAATGTTTCTTGGGTGTTTCCATCATTCCGCACCAACCTCTCAGATCGGGATATCATGGGCCTGTGTCTGATTCTAAATACTGTATGCTCCAGGGATACGTGCAAGAAAAATACTGTCCGCCCACCCCTTCTACTCTTGGTCGCAGACGTTTTCGTGTGGTGCTTTCAGCGTAATCATTCTCATACGTCTTGTCCTGCGGGCTTGGGACTAAACGAACCCCCCAAGGGTTAGTTCATCCACACTTGTGTCAGCCCTGTTTTATCCACGTTATTTCACCCCAATCCCGTCCCGAGTGAAACGACTGTACCCATTACTGTCATTGTGCAACGAGCCACCGAGGTGCATGCGACATGTCCTGTGAAGTAATCGCGAGAGCACCTCAGCAGCCGTGTGCTTCCCTCGCGCGGTTGTCGTTGTTTCTCCTTCGGCAGGAAAAAATGGAGGCGAGGATGAACGACGGCACGCTACACCCCAGCACCTGACCTTCAACCCTATCACGAGTCGTAGCTTCAGGCATTTCGCCTCGAATGATACACCGGCCGGTTTGCGGTTGGTGTTTGATTGAAACTGCCTTGATATGTCGAGGGAAGACTCTTGTATGCAACAGCAGAACCTTGTGACCGCCACTGGCTGGTTCTGGCCGTCGCATGCTATTTGGGGCTGAAGTGGGACGACTGAGCTCTTAGGAGAATGGGTTGTTTCTCAGTTTGGATCATAAAGAGGAGCTTTAGGCGGCTGCCCGAGCTTGAAGATAAATCTTCCGACGGAGAGCTGCACGTCTGTAAATTCTAAAGTTCATCATTTTCGGTGCGACGCGAGTTCTACACCAGGAGGGCCTCGCGAACGCAAGGTATAGCTCCTGCGGAATGTTATTGTCCGGCCAACGACTACGACGAAACTTGTCGCAGGAAGGACGTATCATCGCTTGAGAACGTGTGTATCCTTGCTGGCGGGATGTTGATGGTGGTGATGAACTGGTGTCCAGACGGGACGAACACTCGGAATCAACATACCCATGAATGATGCATCGATGTCAATGCTGCAAACATGCCATGGTTCCTCGGCTGCGGATTTTGAAAACACAAACACGTCTGCCATGATTGCCGGGAATTTTCGTCACCCCTGCTTGCCTAAACCTCGGTCCCCGACAGAACCAACAGCATCATCGACAGCGACTCTAACGCAAACAGTACCAAGACAGTAGCAACATCAAGACCAACCAACAACACGTGTAGTCATGAACGAGTTTGGCGATGAAGCTCGCGTACTTCGTTACATCTTCCATACAGGAATCCTATCCATATGCACTCCCTCAAACAGATTAAATTTCCGCAGAAAAATATAGGGAGGAAAACATGGGACCGATCAAATATTGTCTACATTGCGCTGGTCAAGGTTGCCACGTTACATCTCCACCTCCATACATGTACCCGAATCCTACCCATCGGTAGTCCCTCAAACAGAGTAGACTTCTCCCCCAAAAAATGTCGGTAGGAAAACATGGGGCCGATCAAATATGGGCTACTGCTGTACATTGCGCTGGTCAAGGTTGCCACCAGGCCTCTATCTGTTGTCTGTGGTGCGCCATCGGGAGTGCGGTTTGTGGTGCGGAAAGAACCCGGAGAGTTGGGGACGCTCGGGGTTGGGGTGTCGTCGTCAATACTTGTACGCACGCTTGCTTGCGTTTGTGCGCACTTTCTGACGCGGGACACGCAAATCACGGCAAAGCAGGAATGAAATGAATTTGTGACATGTTTTGTTGCCCGACATCCCCGCCCACTCGTACTCAGGTATTGTGCAACAATGAGCAAAATGTTAGTGGCGGCCCCACGATAACTGATGTAACAGAAAGTCTATCCACGATACTCGCGTCAGTTGGACTATCAAGTCAGCACGATGATAGGAGGTACGGCGCAGAGATCGACAAGGGATGTTAGACGACAATTTCGGAAATGCACCAAACAACACATCAGCAAACAAAGATTCCCCACGAACCGGAAGAGCACTTCCCGCAAAGTGAACGGTGATACCAGTACGATGGGGACAAAGTGCGAATTGGGCTTGAGTACACTGCAGCATATTATATGTTTGATTTGATCTGTTTACAAAAGTTGGTACAGTATAGTAGACGAAACTGACGTCTACATCGTCCGCCGGACTATCGAGTAGTCCCGACACCCCGATGTCCTCCAGATATGGCAGTGATATCGTGCGGTTTCATCAGGTGAGATATATCCACGTAGGAGTCATGCTACAAGGTCTATATCAATTTGCATCATGTATATCGTTACACTGACAAAACGCAAAATCCGAGTTTGGATCCTCTTTGTAGCGCATATCACGGGGCCAATTTCAAATTCGCAAACCGTGGTTGAGACTCTCAACGGCCAGCCGGTCCGTGCGCACATAGAGAACAACACAACAGGTAGTGGCATACGATGGAAAGAGCGTTTGGGGAGAGGGAGGGAGAGAGATCACACATCACAGAGAGACAGCTCGATGGGGGTTTCCAGGCAGGCTCTCGTGGCCACCGGGGGAGGGGGAGAACCGATGGTGGCAGAAAAAAAAAAAAACATGAACATGATATCATGTGCGTCCGGTCCGCATGGCTGCCACTCTCCCACCTGTCCCCGGTTGACCCACAAATAGCATCACCATGGAGCGCACCAGGATGGACACGAGCACGCTGGACCGCGTCAGCAGGCTGGCATCCAACGTGGGAGACGCCACGTCGATCCAGGTGTCGCTTGGAGCCCTGGAGTGGGACATCAAGCTTGTCGATGGCGATGTCCGTAAGTTGTTGTCCTGCCTGCAAGGCAAGCCAGGCGCACAGACCTACGCGGGCACCAGCAACGAGACCGAGCAGGGCAGGGCCTTCCTGAAGAAGCAGCTCGATGGGCTCATGGCCGAGAAAGCACAGTACAAGGAGAAGAGGCTGGCCCTCTTGCAGCTCCAGCAGGAGCTCCCCAACCTCGAGGAGGACGAGGAATACGCCGCAGGTGAGTGGGGTGTGGCATGCGCACGCATGCGGCGTGTTTCCGACTAAACTGCAGTAGGAGAGAGCTCTGCGCCTGCTGGCACTCCGGCATGCCCATCCCGTCGCCCAAGCTGTGAGAACGACCCTCTGGGCTCGACTAGGACGCACGCCTTGTCACGCACGGGGTATTACCGCGGCTGTACCTCCACCGCAGTTGCCGTGATTTTCAAATAAACCTAGCATACGTCACCCAAGCATGATTACGTACCCACAGATGTTCCCTCCCCGCCTTCCGGATCGGTCGATGTAGCATCTGCATATTGGTTTGAATTCCCGAGCAGGGATACCCTTCGATACAAAAGCCGGCTACACAAAGATGAGAGAGAGCCCCTAGCTTGTGCTGCTCTGCTTGGATCATGATTGCACGTGGTACACGCTGTCGTCCGCGGCGATTTCACAGAACAAAAAAAATGCGGGTTTTATGTTTGATGACGGGTGGTGATGACACATGGGGGTGTCATCTTCGGACCATTCCCTGTCAGAGGGCAGCAGAAAAAATACAAGTGGCGGCGGAAACATGAAACACCTGCAATAGATATGGTTATGAGTTATGAACGCGCAACCTTCCAACGCGTTTTCTCCAAGCCCCTCCTCTCCCGTCACGCGCGAAGAAGCCTAACAACCCTCCCTCGCGCCTGACCGTCACCCTCCCGCTGAACCAGGAGCCCCAGAGCCCGAAGCCCCAGCCCCGCCGGCGGCACCAACGGAGGAGGAAGGTGAAGAGGATGATGTGACGTTGGCACCAAGACCGTTTATCTACGCACGTGCTGCCCTCCCCCGGTGTTTCGAGATTTGCTAAGCAATTACCCACCCTTCCTCCTGGGGCGGACTGGACATGGTCAGACGTACACACGCCGTGTGTCAATCTCAAAGGGAGTACATGCTACGTAGCTGAAAAACACGAGAGATGATGTTCGATGATTTTTTTTGGTACGTGTTCGAGGTCTCCCGACGCTACGGGAGAGCGGCGGCGGAATGCGAGCATGTAGACTAAGTTTGAGAGCCGAGTGCCCGGATCCCAAAAACGATACAGGAAATATCTGATAGAGCATTAGGAAACCGCTGTGGCGCTGGTTTTCGTACGCCATGAGCCTACCCGGGTGTACGAATCTACTGCTGTAGATATCGGGCAAAGTACAGCGGTGCGACAGCACACACTCTTTGCTGTGGCCTATTCCGCTTGGAACCATGTTTGTGTGACCCTCACATCATGACGTTCGAAACCTCAAGGGACTCAAGGTGCTACGGACGTTATGGCGTCGGCCCGGGTGAATTGCTGTTCGAAGTACTGAGGCGCGAGATACTGCAATATTGAGGCCTATGCATATCATCATTGTGCCAATGGGGCTGAGAACAAGTTGTCAATTTACCGTTCGACCACGCGAGAATGGTGTCAAACGAGGGTCGGACCAGTACAATGCACTTGTGTTGATGATGCCCCCTCTGATGGGGCCGTTCTATGCACATACTTTGTCTCCCATCCTGTACATGCCATGGGAAATTGGGTTTTCACCTACGCAGCGGTTGTTCCATTCTTCCATCCCTGAAACTCGTGGCCTGGCTTGTGAAGCCAAGCTTGAAACTGGCGATGTACTTCGTGCGATATCCTGTGCATAGAAGCGATGAAAGCTGACCGATCACCGAATTAATCTATAATAATTTGACGCCCCGCCTCATTTGTGTCTTCTAACCCCCACAGCAGTTCAGTATAACACGTTACATACAAGTATAGTGTAGAAATTGTGGACAAATCGTTGGAAATTCATTACTGCAGTGTGCGGGGGGCGAAAAACGGTTGTTCACGCCGCGTGGCGATTGGCCTTTTGACACTGGAACGCTTTCCTTCGCTTCGATATTTCCCGTCGCTCCCTGCCGTAGACAAGGCGGCCGTCGCCGCCACCACCGTCGTGTGGAAGGACACAGTGACTAGCGGCACCTACGATGCCCCCAAGAAGACGGCGGCTCTCTACGCCGAGGACGGCGTTCTCTGGGGAACGGTCTCGGAGGAGGTCCGCGACACCCCTGAGCAGATCTACGCATACTTCGTGAGTCGTTGGTCTTCATCGTTGTCGTTGGTGGCGGTGTTGGTGGTGTTGCCGTCGTCATTGTGATCGCCATTGTTGTGTTTGTTGTCGCAGGTGGTTGTTGACGCACGCCGAGAGCCGTTCCGATCTCATCTAGCGTTTTTTTGCTAGTTTAGGTGCTTTTTTATTTTGGGCGTCCTTGCGCTACGCGCTCTCAAGAGGTTGCCACCAACCACGTCGCTCCGCCCTCCTTCTTGTCGTTTTCCTGAACCCCCGCTCCATTCGTACAATATTAATGTTCCGTCCCCCAAGACTGCAGATATTTCAGCAACATTAACCGAACCAAGATGGAACACAACAACCCTATTACGTCCCCCCAAGACTGACAAATTCTTAAGTGACCCAAAACAAGATGGACAAAAAGACAAGAACAGTAAATCCCCCAAGACAAAAAAATATCTAAACATTCACACAAGATGAACCAAACAACCCACCGTCTGTTTTATCCTCCCCCCCCCAGGACTACTTCGCCCGTCTCCCCGAGCTCCGCCTGGTGGAGTACACCCCCGTGGCGGTGCGCGTGTACGGCGACTTCGCGGTCCAGGCCGGCACGTACACGTTCGCGTTCCAGGGGGCGGACGGGGCGACCGTGGAGAAGAGGGCGCGGTTCAGCTTCACGTTCAGGAGGGACCACCCGGAAAGCCCCACCCCGTGGACGATCGTCGAGCACCACTCGTCGTCCATGCCCAACGCGCCGGCGGGGCTCAAGCGCGTGAGTGTGGTGGCGACGCGCCTCGGAGTCAGGCAGTTGTGGTGGTCGAGGTGACGTTATGTGTCGGTCGTTGCTGCTGCGGCGACACGGGTTGATTTTTGTGTTCTGGTCCCATTTTTATTTTTGAGACTAGACGATTTTTTGTTTGTTGTCGAGACAACAATACCACAATTTATTCTCTGGCCGACTCGGCAGTCTTGGCTCACCTTTCGGCGTACCATGTTGGAAGCACAGAACGGGGTCATGTGTAGGAGGAAATTCTCCGCCGTTCCTCCTGCGGCGCTTGCCCCCAAGGTTTATGCGCGAGAAGGGTTGATGATGCGGCCGTCCCTTCTTTGCCTTGTTGTGCGTGTACTCACGGCCATCTGATCGACCCGGCCTCCCCTCAACCGCGCCGCTGATACCTCAGGTCGGACCGAACGCGGAGCTCGTGAAGGTGACGCCGAAGGAGCTCGAGGTCACTCCCGGTAGGTGTAGCTGTTGCTGCCAAACTGCCTTATGCTGCTGCTTTTTGTGCTTTCCGCCGCTGCATTGTTTCTGCGTATGCTGCTACCGCTGCTACTTTTGATGTCAAAAGGCCACTTTTTAACACGACAGCCCTCGGTCTGAACGTGGCATCTAGGCCCCGCAGGACTTAAGTCTCCCGGATCGAGATCTCAACTTCCCCCCGCCCCCCCCCTTCGCGTGTGTTTTTTTTTTTTTTCGATGGGGCAGAAATGAAGGCCGGGTCGGAAACGACGATCGTGTGGAAGGACACGGTCACCCTTGGCACCGAGGATGCCCCCAAAAAAACGTCGGCTCTCTACCCCGAGGACGCCGTGCTGTGGGGAACGGTCTCGGAGGAGGTCCGCGAGACGCCGGAACAGATCTACGACTACTTCGTGAGTCACCGCCGCCGCCGTCTTTATTGTCGTTGAAATTGTTGATGTGGTTGTGTTTGTTCGTTGTTGTTGCTGTGTAGCTTGTAGTTGTGAACTGTTGCTGTAGCTGTCGCTGTGGCTGCCGTTTCGGTGATTGTTGTTGTTGCCGTCGTCGGCTACTTGTTTTCTCCCGCCAATCTGGAAGCTCATCCACCCGGCGTCACGCCCGCTCCCCCCTCTGACTTCCCTGCCACCAAACGGAAAAAACATCAGGACTTCTTCGCTAGGCTCCCGAAGCTGAGGCTGGTGGAGTACAGCCCGGCGCCCGCCCGCGTGTACGGCCAGTTCGCCGTACAGGCCGGCACGTACACGTTCGCCTGGCAGGGGAACGACGACGAGACCGTCGAGAAGCGGGCGCGGTTCAGCTTCACGTTCAGGAGGGACCACCCGGAGAGCCCCACCCCGTGGACGATCGTCGAGCACCACTCGTCGTCCATGCCCAGCGCGCCGGCGGGGCTCAAGCGCGTGAGTTTAGAGGAAGCTCAAGTAGGACTGGATAAGAGGAAGGTTGACCCGCCAGTGGTTATATAGCCCCACCGTGGGACTTTGCATCCGACATGCACCGCGGTTCAGCACCCTACCAATCTCGCCGCGTTTCATCACCCCCCCGTCACTGTGAGGTCGTTTCCTGTTGCCTCACTGCTCGTGAGTACTCTGTACAGTGGTGTTGCCGTTCCTTTCTCGACCTTCCCTTTCCCCCCCCAAGCAACCCTCGTAACCAGACACAGTTCAAACTAGCCCATCCCAAACCCGGCCTAGCTCATCGTGCATCCCCGAAACCTTCGTGTGCTGAAACGCAGGTCGAGAACGACCCCGCCGCCGTCATGGACGAGGTTGTCGTCGAAGACGCCCCCGCCGTCGTTGCCGCCGAAGAGCCCGCTGTCGTTGCCGACGAGCCCGCCGCCGAAGCGGAACCAGACGTCGTTGAGAAGGAGGCGCCGGCGGCGGAAGAACCGGCTTCGGAGGAGGCGGAAGAGGTGCCCGACTTCTCCGTCGTGCCCGACGAGGAGGTGAGAAGATTTTTCGTTTACGTTTTTATTTATTTATTTTTTTTACAATTGTGAACCCTTTTGGGTAGTTGGCTTCGTGCGTAATTTTTTGTTTTCATACCTAAGTGTCTACCTTTTTGGGTGTAGTTGGCCCGTGTGACCACGGAAGGCGTCTGCGTAAGGTTAAGCCCGGTACACGGGTGCTGTAAGGTGCTGAGCAGGACCCGGAACGGTTTTTATCGTGACGACCGAAAACAAAATTTTTGTGGAGATCCCGCGTCATCAAGGGTATATTCTCCCCAACCTCTTGGAGGGCGATTCCCTATTGTGGCACACGTGATTTTTGTTGTGCTTCAGCCACACGTCCAAACCTCAAGACCCACTCGTAACAGAGAACGATATTGCCTAGTACCCTCGGAAGGCGCGACATTCGGCTTCCAATTTCGTAGCTTCCTTGTCAGCCGTGAACGTTTGAATCCCGCGACGTTTTTGGCACCGAATCGACCACGAACCCTTCCCCTCCCGCTCATTGTGCCGCTTCGGGTTGTTCACCGATATGGTGTTTCGCGTGTTGTTCGGCAGCCATTCGTACCTCCCACTCACCCGGTGGACGTAACGATAACCGTGGGTTCGAACGGGTTGGGAGTCATCCTTGGGGAAGAGAAGGAAGGCACCCGCTGGACCGTAAAGGGTTTCCGAAACATGCCAGACGGCGACAAGGGCCCCGCGGAGGTGTGGTATTTTGTAGAGCGGGGGGGGGGGGGGGGGGGGGGGGGGGG